GAAATCCATTGGTGTATAATTATCTGCTCATGTGTGTTTTTAAGTTAAGGGAGTGTTGTGGTTTATGTGCTGGAGTTTGGTTGTTACAGTGATTCTGTTGCTCAAAATACTGCAGTAGCTTAAGAAAATTACTTCAAATGTCTTTTAGAATCTTACATTCCTGAGTTTTCCACTGGCTTTTAAAACAAATCCAGTCTGCCAAAGCTTGTGTCCACACTGACTTGATGTGGATTTTATCAGACAGGGAGTTGCTTCAATAGCCAAGTGTATAAATGGAGCATCCCACTGTTTGCAAAGCAGTCAATCAAAAGTTTTCTCAGTAAAACACTTCTTTTGCAGTGACTGGACAAGAAGTTGGATTTTGGGCTTGATTTTGTGTAGAAGTTTCTGGTATATATTCTTGATTGTTTGAGTTTCAGCCTGTGTGAGGAATATCCTGGCATGTGGTTGTCTTTATATTAAATGTTGTAGCAGCAGGATGTTTAAAGAATTTTGGGTTTTTTTTAAGTTTTGTTTCAGGTTTTTGGTAACAAATTGCAGGGATTTTGTGTGCCTTAGACATAGTGCAAACTTGAACAGTCCAGAAGTGTCAGGGTTAAGACCATTGCTGCTTCATATGTTGATATTTGCTATCAACAGAGCATTCTTGACAGCTAAATTATCTTCATAATTTCAAGTGCTCTACTTATTAAACTGAGATCTAGAACTGTAGTTCACAGTCTAAGAGCTACTTGAACATGTTGGTCTTGTCAAGGGGTTGAATTTTTCACTTGTTTTACAAATTAGTTTTTTGTGCTGGTTTGATTTGCAGGTCTTACCACTTCCAGGTTAAACACTTGTTTGATAGCTTAGTCCCCTTTTCAGTCCAGGAGTGATGTGTGTGCTCTTTGGCAGCTACTTAGGAGGTCATAAGGTCCTTCTGGATCTGTATCTTAACTTTGATGTGGGACCTGCATTAAAGAATAGAGCCAGATGAAAGGTGTCCAAGGAGAGTCTTCAGACAATCCTGGTGCCAGGAAGGGCTCGTTAATGAGCTGGATCTCTGTCCTGGCTTGTGTAGGGAGAACTTGTAATTCCTCTTGAAGGCATCGCACTGGTTGGATTTGCCATTCTAGCAGGTCTGTTTCTCTTTCTCCCCCTCAGGCTTATCAGGAGTTTGAGGCAGAGGACAACATACAGATGAAAGGTGTTCCAAACTTGGTAAAAGCCATCAGACTTGGGAGGTAAGCTCTGACTTTCAAACAGGCAGGGTGGGCAACTTGGCTGCCTAGTTCCTTGTAATGCTGTCAGGAGACAGAAACTCCAGTTTCTCTAGTTTACTATTACATTTAATATCCCATTTTTAGGCTTAATTGGTTTTCTGAGAGAACTTTGATCAAGATTGGTTTCTCAGGTCATTAAAGGTGTGAGAACATTGGCAGTGCTGGAGAAGTTTGCACTAGGCCTTGCCTTGGGTTTGAGTTGGTGGTGATGTTCCAGGGGGATGCCTTCTCATCAGCCTAAAAGCACTAGAACATTTGCATTTTATGCTCATACTTATGGTGCTTGAAGACTTTCGTATTTTTTCTGCATAAGCTTCTAAGAGTGAGTAGTGCAACTTTTTTGTTGCATATTATATTTTGCACATGTATTATCTTAAACAATGTAATCTTGCAATGTAAGATCTTCCTTGATGTGACAAGGCTTTGTAATGGCTTTGTAAAGACACATTGCAACAGAGACAATGGATACTTTTGCTTTTAGGATATATATAATCAAACTAATCTTACCATTCACCCATAAGAATTTGACATCTCAGTGGAAAAAAGTCTGAGACTGAAATACCAGAGAAACTTTGTATTGTTACTGAAGTCTGACAGGAACTATGTCTGGTTGGCACTTGGCAGGCTCAGCACGTGGCAGGCAGTGCCAGCACACAACTCCATTCCTCCTGGGGTGTTATCAGGGCCAGACTTCCACTCCTTTGTATGTTGGTGTATTAAAACGGAACTGGCAACAATTTAGTTTAAAATGTGTTTCTGGATGCCAGTGAAAGGCATTTTGCCCTCCTGTTTAGTTTCCTGTTACTGCTGATGGGAATGTTTCTTTAATAGTGACTTAAGTTTCTCAAAGTTTTTGGGGTGAGAATCTGGTGGTCGTCCTCAAAATTCTTCTGACTGTGATCAAGGTGGTGGTGATTTCTGATCCTTGGGGAATATCTGATCTCTTGCACAGTGTTTAATTGGAAAAATAAAGTGTATTCCGTTGGGGTTTTTTTTTTTTGGCAAGATCTTATCTTGATGGGAGGCATATTTTGGGTAGAATAGATTTCTGGTGCTGTGTCTCATCCTGCTGGTATTGGAAAAACCAGTTCTGAGGATTGTTGGTGTGGTGTCTGTTGAGGGTATATAACTTAGTGTACGTCCTCTTCTGGCTGAAACTTCTACCTCTAGCAGTGTGATATATTGCACAGCTGGAAATGACTTCCAGCAGAAAGTGCTTAAAGTCAGTTATATCGTCTTCTGGGCCCTTAATTGTTTTAACCTTTGTACTTAATGAAAACTGTGGTCAGATCTCATGGAGATACTGCCCTTAACTATGCAGCATCACTAGCCATGTATATGTGTCTTCAATGACTTGATTCAAGGAACTATTTATTATAACTGGGCCATTAAAGTTTAAAAACATTTTAAAGCTTTTCTTTCTTCACAGATGGAAAAAGTGGTGTGCTTCTTTATGGAACCTCAACCCCTTGTGTGTTGTATCCGTAACAGTGGGAAATGCTTTTCTGGACTTCGTGAAGGCTGGTTGTGGGCAGCTGCAAAGAAGGGTGTTGGTAACACCTGATGTGGTGTTAATCTTCATTAAATGTGCTGTTGAGTACTTTCCCAGAATCCACTTGCAGAATTCATCCCTGGAGTTGGCTACACTGTCTAGACGTGAACTCACTGAACAATGTTGGGTGCATCACCTTGGTTTGTGTGGGAGTTCTGGGTGAGGCTGAATTGAGCTGTGACTTCACCACCCAGTGTGAAGCAGCGGGGGAGGCTCCTTGGACACTGTTTATTGGAGAGGGAGCTGCTTTCAGCAAATACAAGGTCCATCAGTCATACAGTTTGCGCTTTCTGATCTCCTGTTTTCCCAGAGAAGGTTTAGCACCATGGAAAGGTTACGAGGGAGATCCTCTGGGATCTGTGGTGCACAGCCTGGGCACAGTGTGCTCACATGAGAGCTGCTGAATATTTCTGATGGCAGCTGTTTAACATCTCGTAACTCATGGCTAGGATGTCAATCGGGCAAAGATAGTGGATAAAATATGGTCTGTCACATCATAGTTTTGTTAATTATAAGTTCTGATTCTTGCTTCTGTAATGGCTTCCATAAAAGCTCACTTCAAATGTACAAGGAGACTTAAAACACCTTGTGCCTCAAAACAATAAATGGAACTCTTCTATTCAGTAGTGTTCTGCATTATATAAATATGTATCTTTTAGATGCATGCATTGTGCTGTAAAATACCTTTTTCTCTGTGTTGTGCTATGTTGTTCCTCCCCTGCTGCTGTTTGATCCAAAGAGCTTTTGTTCCGTTCGATAACAGGGCAGAAATGGAAGCATTTGATCTGGCAATGGTATAAATAATATTTGATGTAATATTTTGGCCAGATATTTATAGGTGGACTGCAAAAGGTTGTGTCAAGGAGCGTAATGTTCTTATAAGAGCAAGATTAGATCAATAGTGCAGAATGTTTATACAGATTTGAGTGAGTAGACAGTTATGTATTTTGGTTCCAGCATTTGACTTGGGCAAAGACTTTTTTCCATTAAAACATACTTATTATAAAATACTGTGCCAAAATACAGATAAATAGATCAAAAAGAAATGATATATGGAGAATTAATTTTCAGGAGACCCAGCTGGCAACACGAAAATATGCAAAGAGCATAGAAAATCTTGGCATTTGTCTTCAGATAATGTGTGTCTGGCAATGACTCTCTGGAAGCATGGAACTACAAATTTGAACTTCCCCAGGGATATTTAAACATAGCAAGTAGAATAAGCTGTTACACAATTTGATACATGTGCTTATGTCACATGAATATTGTGTTCAAAAATACCTGCATAAAAAGATAGAATTCACATCTAAGCAGCAAAAATGTTTTGTGTTTGAATGACACAATAAGTTGTGTATAGAAGGTTCTGAATTCTGTTAGTTTTTCTGCAAATTAATTGCACTGGAATATCATAGTTTGTTTCCGCTCAGTTTCAACTGAGCTGCTCAGTTGGTTTCATCTCCCTCTAATAAGAACTTCCTGTTTGAAGTTCTCCTAAATCTGCTAGATGTATTTTTAATTTCTTGAAATACCTGCAGAAGTATTCAAACGTTTTCTCTCTGTAAATCTATTGCCTTAATGCTCAGTGAAGTGTGAGTGAATGCCAGCAGAAACCTTAATTTCCGTACCACACAGGGCTTGAACCTGTTTTAGCAGATACCTTGCCTGTGTTTGTCCTGGCTAAACACCTCTGGAAATTGTGTGGATGTGTTTTAGGGAACTGATGTAGGACCTTAGCTGGAGCTTGTGGCTTCATCTGGGATTGAGTGATGTGGCCTCTGCCTCTTCCTGCAGTTTCCATGTGAAACAATCTGGATTGGGATGAGCAGTAAGCTGGACTTGAACAGAAAAATCCCCTCTCACTGGCCTAGCAATCAGCAGGGGAAAATAGGACTTGGGCTCTTCAGGGGAATGCAAATTGCAATATTGTGCTGCTGTTGATGTACTTAGAAAGCTCAGTGATAAGAGCTTAAAAACTTAAACACTGACATACTTTTTATCGTGCTTTGTGTTATTCACTTCTAGGAATATTCACTTCTGATCTGTTTGCTTAGTCCTTAAGTCCTAAGTGTTATTCACTTCTAGGAATATTCACTTCTGATCTGTTTGCTTAGTCCTAGGCAAGTCAGTCTCACTTACCAGAGCTCTGAATTTAGTTTTAATTATTTTATTCTTATTTTTTCTTCCAGTTAGCAGACTTGAGGAGCGGGAGGCAGAACTCAAGAAGGAATACAATGCACTTCATTCAAGACATACAGAGGTAGGTTGTTACATCAAGATGATGTAAAAATGTATATCTGTGGAAAACCTCGTGTTGTGAGCAATTGGGAAAATTATTGAATATTTTGGTTTGTACACTGAGTTGTAACCAGGCTTAATTTGGTGATGTAGTTTTTCCCTTTCACATCTGATTGGCTATTTCTCAATGTTTGGTTGCACATCTGTCATTTTATATAGCTTTGTCAGATGTGGAGAGGTTTTAAAAAGGAATTTGTTCTTCCATATTTCTGAGGCAATTCTTCAAAACACACTAATAGGCTTCAAAGAAATAGAAATGAAGTTACATTTTCATACTCTTCCTGTCAGTTTTCTGTGTTGGTTTCATTTGTACCATTGAAGGAAAAAACCTGATCAAAACCTGGTCTGCTGGTATTTGTGATTAAAAGAATTCCCTGCCATACTTTATTGATAGCTATTGAAAATGGGATTTGCTGATGAAGATGGAAAAAGTTTGGATTTGTTAATTTAAATAAATAAGAGCCACACTGTTTAAGTTGTGTGCAAAGCACAAAAACAGGACTTGCAGTGCTTCAGTTTTCATTAGCAGGTTGTCTTTCCCATGCAGGGATGTTTTACTGCCTAAGTCATACACCTATTTTAGTGAGGAAGTCACTAGATCCTTTAAATTATTCTGATTATTCTAGAGTCCCACTTGAGCACAGTTCTCCTTACTTTCCTTGCTTTGCCTTTGGAAGGTCAGAGAGCTTGTTTTAGATCCTTGCTACCAAAGAGAGCAATGCCATACTGACAGCTCCCAGTCCAAAAGACCCATGTGGGGAAAGGGGAAGCAGATACAGATGTCAGATTTGGTTATCTTGAGTGCTTTCAGCAACCTTAAGTGTTTTATACTGACAGCAGCTGAAAAGTGACTTGAAACCACGACTAGTCTATAGTGCTTGTGTGACAAGCTCTTAAAAATAATCATATGTTTACTGAAATTGTAGCATTTTTAAATTCGCATTTGTTACTAGGTAACTGCTTTAGAATGGCACATCTGTTGAAAACTGGAAATCTAAATAAAATGAGAAGTGACAAATCTTAATGCTGCCCCTGAGGTTTGGCCTCCTTTTGATCTAGGGGTATTTCAGAGTATGAGGTGCTTGCAGAGTTCTGGTTATTGTAATTCAAACCTGTGGGTTCTGATATAATAAAACTGGCAGCTTTTTATTGAATCCTGTTTCACAGAATTCAAGATTAAATGCAGTGGGCATTCGCTTTCTTTGGTGTAGGGAGAGATGTTTCCTTGGGTTTTACTATTACTGGGGTGACTATCCTTTCTTCATAAAGAAATAATTTGTAGTGCACCATGGTATATCAATACCTCTGTTCTCCTAACATCAGATCTGCTGTTTTCTGTACTCTTCCCTTTCAATATGATTGCTTCCTTGATTCTTTGTTTTCCAGACCAGAGTGAATCTTGCAAAGATGCACCTCCTTAAAGGATGGAGCATGTCAATATTTTAATGTTGTATGCTGGAGCATGTCTGAGACTCAGGGACAGAAATTCCTGGGAGCTGGAAAGGACTGGCTGATAATAATGCCCAACTCCCCATTCCCTTTGTGATTTCCTGGTTCCCTTTCTCCCAACACATTCTAAAACTTTATATCTGTGTCGTAACTTTCTTCTTTCAATGCAAGGTATTTTGGCAGATATCCAATCTCCTTTCAGCATTTAGGTTTATCAGTTTTATTGGATCAAATATTTCTATCAAATACTTGGTTTTTAAACTTTTTATTCCATGTTTTACCAGGAAGGGGTACTTCTTTCCTCCTGAGTCCACTTCACTGTTTTCTTTACAAGTGATCCATCTTTGGTACTTACTGAAATGGCAATTGTTTTTCTTTCAGTTGACTAAATAATGAACAGAGCATTTAGGAAGATTTTTTTTTTATTTAGCTCTAAGATGCTTACTTGGACAGATGTCACGTTAAAGACACAATGTAATTGCATTTTGTGCAAGCTTAATTTCTAGCAATTTTTCTGTCTTCTGTCTTCATTATTGGTTTCCTTCCACTTGCCACCTCCTCTTATTCTTTACTTCACTGATGAATATTTCAAAGTTGGATGTCTTTCCCTTCCAACTGCTGACCTGAGGTTCTGTATCCATGTCCTTCACAATGCCCACCTTTCAGCCCTCCCTATCTGTCTGTGGCTGCCTTTGCTGGAGTTCACTGCCAAGCAAAGGTGCTGGCTCAGCACCCCAGGGAATGTCACCCATTTTCAATCCTAATGGACCAAGACCTACTGAAGCTGAGTCACCTTGGTGAGTTCTAGCAGGGATGTGAAGCAGAGAGCTGAATCAATTCCTCTCTGCAGTGTGTGTGTTGTGGTGAGAGCTGGGAGTTCTCCTTGGAGCTCAACCTGCCAGAGACAGGGTCTGCATTGCAGTTCCAGCACCAGCCTGCCCAGCAATAAAGTGTCTGCAGCTGCAGAGATAGCAGGGCTGCCCTGGCTGGGGAGAGCTCTGGGGACAGGCTTTGCCCTCCATCACCCTTCTGTTCAATCAGTGTCTGTCTTGCTGCTCTCTGGAGAGGGCGGTGGGCTGGCTGGCGTGAGTGCAGGAGAGCCCATAAAGCCTCCTTCCCACTAGGACTGTACTTGGGCTAACTGGCTTGTTTTTAAATTGATTAGGGTATAAGAACCTGAGCAGTTGAGATGGCAGATTGGAAGGTGGGGTGTAGTGGGTAGTGAAGGGGATAAAATGTTTGATCAGAACAGAATGGATGGAATAGCTTGAACATGTTCTGACTTCTGTGCTCTGGTTCCTTGTCTTTCCTGTGCTCACAGTGGGTTTTGATCTTGTGCTGATCATGTTCTGCTCTAACACTCAGATGAGATGAGTGACAAAGCAGTGTGCTGGAGTTCCTGAGGTGGAACTTCTGAAACCTAACTATGCAAAATCTTGTTTCCATCTTTCTCTGACTGTAAAGGCCTAGATGAAGGAAGCAATTATACAGCCAAGGGCAATGTGCTGGAAAGCAGAATGGTTTATGGTAGTCTAAAGTCTTCAAGTCTTTGCTCTTTGAATTAGAAAGGAATTCTGTCAGTTGCCTCTTGTATATGTTCTGTTTAATTGAATCTATAGAATCTGGCTTGTTCTTGTTCCTGGATAAAAGCAGGCCTGTCTGTTCTTTGTAGCTGTGAGGGCTTTTTTGCCTTTGCTGCTGAGATGATGCACTGCTACTACTGCTTATTTCAGAACAAACCATTCAGGGTGGTTTCACCTGGTGAGTAGGAGGTAAAGGATCTTACTTTCTTTTTTTCTGCAGAGCTAAAGGGTGTAACTTCATAACTATGGCACTGGCTTTTTAAAGACTTGGCTAAGGCTTTTATGTTTATTACTCATTTGGGAAACTGAGGCAAAGCAATACTTGAGATCTCCTGGAGAATTGACTAATACCTGTGGCCTCTCTCTGCACAGGCTTCTAAAATAAACCTCTTTTTATCTATTTAAGGAAGTTATTCTTTTTCTCCTTTGGGAAACACTAGGCTGAGGCAGTTCGATATCTTTCCCTGACACACAGAATATGGGCTTAGTTTAATGAAGCATAATTGGGCCATGGAAGTTCCTCAGTGTTCTGCACTGATACAATGTGACAGAACAGTGAGCTTGGCTCTGGCACTGGGAATGGACTTTGTCAGGTTCATTAGGATAAACATATATCCCCAGCAAGTCCCTGGGCAGGGGACAGGAAGAGAAGGCTAGTGGAGTTGTCTATTTACAATTATAGCTGAGCATGGGCAGCTGTCACATTGTCTGTGAGATTAGACTTTGGATATAAATTCAAGCAAATAGATTTTCTAAAGCCTTATGCTGAGCATTAACAGCTTGATCTATAAAACGTGGATGTAACATCTTTAAGTACTAATGTATCTCCCAGCAACACCATCTTGTGTGTGGATAATGATGCACAAGCTGTCCAGTGGGAGTGGTGCTTTTACTTCGGTGAGAAACCCACCACAAACCCTGAAAGAAAAAAAGGTACTTACATGGAAATATGTTTAGGACTTTGATACTGAATCGAGGAGATTCTAGAAATATCTGTTACCTCAATATATCTAATTATTTGGTACAGAGAAAGATCTATATGCACACAGTTGGGTGCACATTTCCAGAGGGAGGAGCTGCTTGTGTCTAGCCTGATTGGATCTGCAGAATAAGCAGTGGGGTCTATAGCACTGAGCCTGGTCTGACAGCCAAAGAATTACTAAAACCTGTCTGGGGGAGCTAAAGCAGTGACACAAAAAGGAAGGAGGAGCGAAAGAGCAAGGAAGGTATAAAGGACTTGGTTAAGACAAAGGTGCAGGTAACAACATCCCCAACATGGCATATCCACATTTTTTTGTGACAAGTGCCAGGCTTGTATACACTGGGTGTGGTTGTATTTGTAAAGGTAGAAATTGAAATGAGTGCCAGGATGCTCATTGTCTTTTACTGAGTGCTGAAGTTTAAGATGTAGAAGAACCTTGTAACACTTCTACAGTTGTAAAACTTGTCACGTGCCCTATGAGGAAACCAATCTGAGTATTTTTATGAGGTGGAAAGACATTGCATTCAAAGGGAGTTGATTTCATGTGCACTCTGTAATGTGTTCAAAAGCATGTTGTAGTTGGTTTGTACATGTGCCTTAAAATCATTAACACCTGAACTGTGAAATGCTGTTAACTAAGGTAATTCTTCCAAGTTCTGAGTTTATCTTTAATCGCCTGAGCTAATAATAATTGAGCAATGTGTTTAATTACAACAGTGCTGAAGTGCTCTGTGTTTGTGATGTATATTCCTAGGAACAACTGGTTGTATTCAAAATACTTGTGGACTTCATGGGCAGCAGAGCAAATTGTCCATAGTGAAAGGTTATGGATGACTAAATACTGCAGCTTGTATTGAAGATGGGTAGACATAGTCAATTATTTATCATCTGTCCTCCAACATAACTTCAGTAAAAATTATGCTGAGTGGAGAGCAATTCAATCCATTTAAGTAAAAAAAAAATAAAATTGTCAGTAATATTAAAACCTTTTTATTTTGATAGTGGAATAATCTCAAAACAGCAGAACTTCTAATCAGATTTTGAGTCCTCAGAATTCTAGTGCATTAATTCATTACAGGTTTTTGGATCAGAATGGCATGATTCATGGATATGCCAAAGCTTGAGGGTCATTTAGATTGAAAAGGTTTTTGAATGTTATCTGGTTCAAATCCCACTGGTTTTGGAGTGAGTCTTCAAAGTTCTATTGCAGGTGAGCAGTTAGAGTGGGCTTGCTTCTCAATAAGCTGCAGTATTTATTACTTTAACCTTCAAATTAAGTTTGTGGAAGTTGGGAATTCACACACCATTTCTTATGACTCTACAGGACTAGCTGTGGAGCTCCCCATCCCATGGGAAGGGGGGGTGAGGAACTCTTTTCCTTGTGGACAGTATTCCAGTATTGTGAACTTTTATCCTTGGGACCCTGAGTTGAGGCAGAGAGTGGTACCACTGTTCTGATTTTTTGGACACCACAGGCACATATAGCCTGGGTCTGTGGAGAAATTGCTGTGTAGCACTGCACATGCCCATAGAACCTCATGATTCTGTGAATCTTCAGTTGCCATGCAGCACTGCACATTCTGTTTTTGATTTTATTTTTCAGTTCCTATAGCTTGTGTGCATTGTGCTGAAGTATGTGATCTACAGATTTGCTTATTTTATTATCAGCTTCATTTTCAGCTACAGAACAATAGAAACTGAACAGTCCTTTAAATTGATGTGCCCTCCAGCCTCTGTGGGTAATAAATGTGATGAGAACTTTCAGTGAACAAAACAACCTGGCTGAGAGGAGGGAAGAGAGTAGGTTAAAACCATGTCCTTTGCAAAACATGAATGTTGTGTGGGTTTTACTGACCCTGTTATTTTTTCCTATGTGTTAGCAGTTCCCTGGAGAGGTACTAGACACTCATCTTCTGTTCGCTGGCTGAAAACACAACAGTTGTTCTATTTAAAATTTAACTTTGAGAAACCAGTTGGTGTGCTGAAAATGGGAGTGTTGTAGGCAAGTCAATAACATCTTCCTCCCATGATGAGGGAATACATGAATAGGATATGGAATGGTCTAATGTGCATTTCAAAATTATACACTCTTGGGAGTCCCCCCTCACCTGGAATTCCTAAACTATCTGCATTATAATAAATTTGTGAAAAACTATGCAGAGGAACAAGCAGAGTACCTAGTTCTGGCTGCTTGGTTAAAATGGAAAAAAACAAATGTGGATGGTTGAAGGTGGAGCTTTCAGTCCTTTTGTGCCTTTTGTTTGTCTCTGTGTGTGAGCAAGCATTAAAACCAGAAAACAAATGGGATGGTCTGGTGAAACACTGCATTTTGTTGGAGGATAAATGTTGTAAGCTTTTGACAGCAGTCCAAATGTATTGTATAATGTTTCTCTGAAAATAGCATGATATTTTGTTGTGGTCTGAATTATATTTATTATTTCAGGTGAATGCTGGGAAAGCTGACATCTGTATGTAACCAGCACTTAACATAAGTTACTGATTTGTAGAATATCCATCAGTCAGGATGTCTTAAGCTGGTTTCTTTGATCAGAAAAATCTGAAACTAAGAATTCCTGTGTAGTTAATGCTGGCAAACAGCATTTGAGGAGAAGCTGGAACTAGTGGGGGTTGGTGGCATCTGAAAGTCAAACTTGGATGCATCAAACGTGTCTTGAGAGTAACACATAAATGTAGGTTTCCAGGTCCTGCTGAGTTCAGTACTCGTGTGCAGCTGCCCCCAAAAGAAAAGATTATATAAACTGGTTGTACAAATGCCTGGAGTATCACTATTCTGAAGTGTTTGTATACCTTTTGTAGAACAGCAGAAGAAATTACAATTTTAAGGAGTAGTTTGTTTGGTTTTTTTTAACTAGAGGAGCTGTTAAGGTTCCTGAATATGTCTCAGGAAAAAAAGTGCACTAAATTCCTCTGCAGTACACCTGTGATTTTTTTTTTTTCCTTTATTGTTCTTAGAGCCCTATTCATCTGTGAACGTGAACGTTGGAAGTGCTAAAAATACCAGATTGTACATAGGCTTCTCAGGCTTTCCCAGTTTTGAGTTCAGAGATGTGACCAAAAGAAACCCTTGGAATGATGCAGTGATACCTCGTCCTTCTCCCCATGCATGTCCTGGATCAGTTCCATGCTGAGAGCAGCATCCTTTGGCCATGGGAATTGGGGCTCATTAAACAAGTCATGACTGTAGGAATACCATGTTGGCCTGTGCTTGTCTCTTGTGAGAAAGAGAGAGCAAGCAGAACTCGTCTTGAGTGCTAAAAATCCAGAGCCACTCTGTCCTTTTAATGAGATGTCAGCCTAGATAATTTAAAACCAAACTTCCCTTGTAGAAAATACAGAAAGCTTAAGTTTATTTGTGTTTTAGAAGAAAAAAGGAGAAGTGGGGACTTCATATTTCTGCCTACAGAAATAATCTGATTATTAGCCTATGGATTCAGTCTTTAATACTTGAGGAGCATATTGTCTGACCTTCACTTTTAATTAGACCTATAGTGCATATTATGTATCATGTTTGTAAAAAATGCTAATATCTGCTGGACATAGAGGTCTAAGACTCTTAAATGGATTTGAATATGGTAGTTCTTTTCCAAACTCACATTTGAAATATTGCATGCACTTTCTTCACCTTTACGATGTTTCCTGTGCATGAATGTACAAGGAAGTTCTCCAATATTTTTAATTTATTATAGACTTATCTTCTGATTTGTCTTAGCACACTCTGCATAATTTTTCTTTTTTCTTTATTTCTTTAATATCTCTAAGTGCTTTTACTATTTAGCATTACAGGGGGAGAATATATTGGTCAAGAACTATGCAGGTATAGTACGAGTAAATGTTACTAAATATTTTTTGCTGTTTGTCGTTTTAAACAGATGATACACAATTATATGGAGCACTTGGAAAGAACCAAACTTCATCAGCTAACAGGGGGTGATCAGCTAGAATCCACAACACACAGTAGAATTAGGTAAGCTATTTATTGCTGTCACCCTGAAATGAGAAAAAAAATTCTGTTCATTTGTGTTTGCAAGACTTTGTTCATTAATCCTACAACAACAGTTCGGCTGAATCAGAAAGATTTGTTGTATGATTGGAATGCGGTAAGAGAACAGCGTAGAAATCTGTAGAAAGCGGCTTTTGCTGTTGTGTGGCTAAGCGTTGAGATATACTTCTAGATTAATTAGCCTTAAACAATTGGAGCTTTTTGGAATGTTTATGTTGGGGCAGGCAGGGAAAATGTCAGTGACTGTCCCGGCATGGCCGCCATCTGGCCGCGTCTTTGTGTGCGCGCATGGTACCTGCTTGTCCTCGGGGCTTGCTGGGAGCAGATTATGCAGATTTGGGAGCTTTGGAATCTATGAACCCTTCGCGGAAGGAGGGAGAAGCACTCTCGGGCTGGCTGTGCTTCTGCGCTGCTGCATTGATGCTGCGAGGAGCGGCGAGGGGGAGGAGGGCGGTGATGTCATTGCTTTGGAGCTGCTGCAGAAGAGTGGAATGCTGCTGCTGCTGATGGCATTGTTTTTGTGGTGGCGGCCGAATGACAGACTTTGCCTACAAAGATCCCCCCTTGGCCCCTGCGTAGCCTTCTTGGAGCCGGCATTCCACCATGCCAGCGCAGCGCCATGAATCCGGGCTGCATGCTGCTGTTTGTGTTTGGCTTCGTTGGCGGGGCGGTGGTCATTAACTCAGCCATCCTGGTGTCGCTGTCTGTTCTGCTGCTTGTGCACTTTTCCATTTCCACTGGGGTGCCAGCTCTGACGCAGAATCTCCCAAGGATCCTCAGGTACTCCGACCCACTGAACCCCATCTTTGTGTGCTCTCGCTGCTCCCCTGCTTTCTGTTCTCGTGCTTTTTCAAACAGGGACAAATGAAATGTCAGGTTTTGTTGTGAATGTGTCTATGTGTGGAGGTACAATCTATTTTTTATCATTGCCTTTTATTCAAGGTCAGTTTATGTATCTCTTTTCTGTGCAAAGCTTTAGCATCAGTTTATTATAACCTGCTGCAAAAGCTGCAATGTTAATGTCAGGGATAAAGCTCACGTTCAGTGTATTGTCAGGTACTCGGCTGATCTTGTGTAGCATCAATGTACGCAGTCTGAGGCTTTGTACTATTAAACTGCACCTGCTTTAATAAAAATACTTATGTAAGATCAGTTAATTGATGTTAAAACCATAGTAATTAATTGATCGTGTTATTTTCAAGAAATCTGATTATTGGTTGGTGGGGGGAAAAAGAAATCTTCCATTATTTAAGCATTAGAGCTCTTAAAGCATATTCACTATTGTTCAGCCAAATGTTGCCCTCTCCTCTGTTTCAGTACTTGTATGGCAAGTTGCCAGCTGTCTGTCCCCCCCTCAGGTTATGTTCTGTTTGTCCTATGTGCCTGGAGCAGTAGCAGACAGAAATGCTTTAGAATATTGTGGCCAAAAGTAGTCTTGGCATGTTTAAATACTGTAATTACAGATGGAAAAGTTCGAAAATGCAGCTTTCTGGCCTGAAAACTTCACATGTTTTACCTATGGTTATAAATTTAATAGTAAATTTTATTTTAAATGAGAAAAATGCTGGAAATTTGTGTTCTCTGAACACTAATGTTGTGAAGTTGCTAATGTGATTTTTTTCCTTCTTAATACTTGGTGCATGTAGATTTCATCTGGTAGTATGCTTTATGCCGTGAGCGCAGAAGTGTTGTTCCAAATGAAAAGCAGTTAATAGATGGAAAAAAATACCAGTTTATACAAGTAGCTGATAAAAAACTTGGATGAATATTTAAATATGAAGACATAAAATAAATTTCAAGTGAAAGTCTATAGACTGGCCTAGTTAGTAAGGCTGTGTTTGTTTAAATGGGGGGAAACCCAAACCCAGGACAAATATTTCCCAACTCTAAAACCAAACAAAACCAAAACAGAACTTCATATTCAGTAACTTACAAGTTACTTTGAACTTTTAAACAAGTCAGATGGTTTGAGAAATAGGTTTGGGTGTTTTTTTTTTTTTTTGTAATGTGCTTTTGCTCCCCTGGAGTATTTAATGGATTTGAGGGGTTTGGGGAAGCTACCCCAAGGTTTTTTCCTACCCTTCTAATTTGCTGTAGTTATTATATGAGTTAAAATTAATTTTCTTAGTCTTTATTAATTTAAAAAAAAAAAAAGATAAAAATATAGGATGAATGAGTGTAATTGTAGAAGAATTTTTTTCTGTTTTTAAACAGTAGTCAGATTTTAGAACTGAGCATCTAAAAGTTCCTAAAGGTTCCTGCAAATGCTTCAATGCATCACTTCACAATATTAGTTTAGGCTTTTAAAATGTGTTTCCATTCTGCTCACTGTGGCATTTTCAGATATTTTTTGGGCGCTGGGGAGGCAGAAGAGGTTCTTTGCTTTCTGCTCAACAAGCAGTGAAATAAATTGAAATTGCTTCAATCTAATTGGATCACTTCTTTTAATGCAGACACTCACACAATAAGCTTCATTTCTAAAATAGCCTCTTTTGCAAACTTCATTTACTATACAGCCTTGCAATGCACCTGACCTCTGTTCTAACACATCAAAATATGTTATAATAAAGTTTTTTTCAACCTAATCTGGACAAAAAAAGTGCTGCCAGGTGCAAACTGTTTATACTGTACATATTTAATATTCTTTCTTTCTTTTGAGGATTGCAAAGCAGAGCAGCTTTGTGGCGTCCTGCAGTATGGAAATGTGCTGGACCCTCTGCCTGAGCCGGGCCCCTCACAGTGCAGCTCCATCAGCCGCAGCTTTTCTTCCTACTTTTTGTTCTTGCACTTTTTACCCACTAAAATGGTCTCAGCCCTTCTTTTGACATAATCTCAGCTTCTGTGGCCTGTCTTTTGTTCCCCACATGCCTGAGTGTTGTGGGAAATCAAACACAAAGCAGGACCTGTTACAATAGCGGGAATCCTTGGAATCCACTGTGGGGTTTCTCATTCCGGCAGTTGCAGATGCTGGAACATTATCTGATATTTTGAATTTTGTAACCCAGACTGATTTTGCTTTACTCACTTTGCTGCCTGCTTTGTCGTGCTAAACTACTTCACAATTAATGACTTAATTTGGAATAATACTTCTGAAAGACCAAGATAGCTCCAATGTGAGAATTAGGTGCAAAGGTTTTTGTGACAAGGAGCATCTTTGTACACCTGGACTGGAAAGGTTCATGCCAACTCAAATTGTTTGCTGTTTGAACGTTGTGATTTTGACAATGTAAAATTTACCAAAGGGAGTTTACTGATTAATTGGTAAATAAAATCCCTTCTTCACTAACTTTTCTTCAAGTAAATAAACAAAATCAAAAATATGTCCAAAAATGCTTAGCTATTGCTTTTCAGCACTCCTTGCCGTATATTTGAATGTATTTTGTACGCAGATATTAATTCTGCCTAGGTTATGTTTAATCTGTGAAGGGCCTTGTGAAAGAAAGCACGTGTGGTTGTGTCTTGGCTTTCTGTAATGCTAAAATGTGAAAACTACGCCATCACTTGTGCATACTTTTATCTTCTCCGTCTGCTAATTTAAAGATGTGCTAGTTGATTATAGTAATTTTTTTCTGCATTACATTGTTCTGCCTGAACAAACACTTTGCTTATCTCAGTTCTAGCCCTGGCTGATATTTTTCCTTTTCAGGGCTGGCCACAGTATCCTATGAATGGCATTGCACACAGTGGTTTTGTCTCTTGCTAGCAGGAAGAATAGATCCTTTTGTTCTCTGAGCACACTACTGACTGCGGATTTTTTTTTCTTTTGAGGGTTACTACGTAAACCTTTGGAATTTCCAAATGCTATTTGCCATAGGGAAGTAGAAAGAGTGAAGAAGTGAAACTTTGGGATGAAATAGTTTGCTTTGCTGGCACAAGCTTTAGGGTGAAGTAGGTTGTTGAACTGATCTTGGGTAAAACTACACAATTTTTAGCTGAGCCAGTTGTAACATTGGTAATTCCCTGACCTAGTTCTTTTCTCTTACACAAATCCATTTCTGTGATCTTCAGGAATAAAATACCCAATGATTTGAGAAGAGTTGCTTGAGGCTTACTGTTTACAATTTTGCAAATGCTTCAGTTGATGATTTAGCTGTTTGCTGTTGTAGAAATTATGCAGTTATATATTGGAGAAAAAGGTGCAAAACGGTATTTTTAATAGTGGCTGCTGAAAACTATTTTCATTTGAAGTAAGGAAACACTTTTGTCTTATACTTCTATTGAACGGGTGTTTCATTTCTATGAAACTGTTGTTTGCTGCAGATTAGCTGTAGTGTAAATCAATAACTGCTATTTAAAGCCATGGAATCGACTTGGCAATTGTGAAATGAGGAATTATCGGGTGCTGTGGCACAGTCTGGGTGTGCTGCACTGCACATTTAATGGAGCAGTGTCTGGATGTTTGAACCTGGAATTTCACCACTTCCCTGCTGATTTCAGAGGCCGCAGGAAAATAAACTGTGGGACATCTGAGATGGCTGATGAACCCTGCATGTCTTTCCAACAGGAAGGAGCGTCCAATATCCCTGGGCATCTTCCCATTACCTGCAGGAGATGCTCTCCTCACGCCCGAGGCTCAGAGGGAGGTGGCAGAAACACCTGTGGCAGAGCACTGGAAATTCCACGAGCTGAGCCAGCCACGGTCCCACACCAGCCTCAAGGTGAGTGCTGCCTGGCTGCCTTGTGTGGCAGGAAAAATTCCCATTACAGGTGGTAGATCTTTGGGAGGATGGAAAAAGCCAAGAAGCCACCAAACTGAAAGAGGGGAGGTAGACCCCTAAAACATCTCTGTATAAGCCAAATGCGTTGCTTACTCCAGTGAACTGTGAGGGAACTTTCCTTACTACAAGAAACAAAGTGTTGGGGGTATTTTTCAAATGAGTGATAATACAGATTAGTTCTCCTCTTATTCTCAGTAGTGGGTCTTTTCTGTCTGACTAAGGACCCTTTCCAAAGGTTCCAACTTGTTTTTCCACTCTAAATATGTTACTAGGTAGTGGGAACACTCTAATTAGCTTTATTAACACTGCTTTAGAAGGAAAGCTTTGATTACTACATGGGCAGTGCTGTTCATGCAGCCTCTACCTACTACCAGGTGTATGGTGCAGCTAGACCACAGAGCTGAGAATGACCTAACTTTCCTAAATTAGTCTGTGAGCATGATTTCTCTTACTTGTAGCCTGGCTATAATTCCTGCAATTGTTCTATGTTCCAGCTGTGAGAGGGTGGAATAAAACAACCTGCAGGAGTGGAGGAATGGGGGAGTGGTATTGGAGTGTGATGAGTCTGGCAGTCTAGGGTGCACTCACAGCACAGTAGGAGGAGGATCTGCAGGGTGAAGAACTCCAGAATGTGTAAATCCTCCCAATATATATTTCTTCATGAGGTTTTTTGGAATGTACTGTTGTTTTTGGAAATAAATAAACTGAGAGGAGTTTCCTCTTAGGTGAACTTAATACCTGCCTAGCACGGGAATATGAAATGATCAGAACTACAAAAACTATTTGGAGCTAATAGGAATCCATTTATTTATCATGGAGATCATAAGGAGATAAAGGGAGGAGTAAGTAGTGGTTAATTGTAGGGATATCAAAGTGACAGTGTGAGTTTGCTTTTAAAAAAATTTCACTTAAAACGAGTGCTAGTCAGAAGGTTGAATGTTGAATATGTCCAATTCCCTTTGTCTTATGCTGTCAATATAATCTGAATTGGCAGATTTTAGGAACGCTAACTGAAATATAACATGTACAATAAATACAAGTTATGACTAAGAGTAGATGGGGGATGAGGTAGAAAGGGAAGCTTCTGATTCTTTCTTTCCCCTTAGAAAATTGGCTAATCCATACTGTCAAAATAGGCTTCTTGGTATAATTCTTCTAAAAATAATGCACTACTAAAATGAGAATTCACAAAATAGCACAAACTGTAGTTATTCAAATCTGTTTATTCAGAATAAGTTCCTTGAGTCCAAAGCAACATCTTAACTTTGGAGCTATGAATATAAAGTACTTCTGAATTGAACCTGCTGAGTAACATGATATATTGAAGTCAAAACCAGCATTTGAAACTTTTTACTCTAATACTTCTGAATATTTTTAACATCCAGTACAAGGCACAAATAAGATTCTGCTGCTTTCTAGCATCTATTTTCCATTCAAGCCTGAACCTTTCCTTAATGGTCAATGTTTCCTCCAAAAAATATCACAAAGTATCACAGAGGGAGTGATAGAGGTGAAAAAACTCTGCTGCTTTCTAGCATCTATTTTCCATTCAAGCCTGAACCTTTCTTTAATGGTCAATGTTTCCTCCAAAAAAGTATCACAAAGTATCACAGAGGGAGTGGCAGAGATGAAAAAACATTATTTTGTAGCTTGTGCAATAGTGAGATTGCTGGATATCATTGTAAGATGACAGACAGTTATGTACCAGTCATTCTTTTCTTCTCATTCCTGCACAGCATTGCAGATGAGTTACTCCTTCAGATTTAATTATTGAATTTTTAAACTATTTTTTCTTTTTTTTCCAGAAGGTGTCTTTTGGCAACATGATAAAAAATGTCAATTTTGCCAAGTCAGCACAGCACTGAATTTCAAATGTTTAGTCTTTGAGATATTCCGATTAATTCAGTGTAATTTAATTAATTGCTTTTGCTTTTCTTTAGTTCTAGAACAAACATTTGTAATAGTTTAATCTGTGTGGTTTCCAAGAGTAAGCTAAAAAAATACCATAGATAATAAAGTCAGAAATATAAAATATATGGGGTGATTTGAAATTCCCTTAAGGACTATTCTATTCCCTGTTTTTTTCTTGTGCTATCAAGCTATTTTCCTTGAGCTTTGTGTGTGAAAATCAGTGATCGGTTTTGTGCTGCATCAGTTAGTGGATGCTCTTGGAATACAAAGATGTAGAAATGTTTAAACAGAGCCAGCAGCTCTGCTGAGGTTTTATTTCTCGTTTGTGTGAGCTCTGGTTGCCCTTGGTAAGGGGCACCACTTCCTCCCTTCTGTGTCTGCTCGCTCGAGTATGAACCATTAGCCAGTGCCTCAGCTTCCCCCATTCAGAAGGCAGTTGGGTAAATTGCAGAGTGTTTTTTTCTTTTCTTTCATTCCTTTAGAGGTGTCTGTATTTCTGAATACTCTTGACAGAAAACCAAATATTAATAATTGATTATTCTGCAATTTACTATAAAACAATGAGAACTGTCAGTAATTGGTAGGCAATTAGTGATGTGTTTTTGTTTCTAGGGCTTGCAAATTCAATGTGGAGATATGCCAGCTTTACATTTATGCTGATATACATAAATATGTGCTTTCCTCCCTGTCCCCACACAAATAAAAATTTTGCCTTAGTAAGTCCCAAAAGGAGAAACGTGCAAGCCACAATTGATAGTAATCTTATGCTAAATACAATTTAGACAGTGTGCATCTACATGCAGGTCTCTTCCATGTTTTTTTTTTAAATAACCTTAAAATTCAGTTTTATTTCTTCCTCAAAAAGGCATGCAGTGAATTTGTGCTTTGCGAAATCTGAACCTGTTTTGTTCTTGACAACTTCAATCACATTCTCTTTAAAAAATGTCACAGACTTGTCCAGGAGCCTTGCTTTCACCTCTGATTCCCAAACAAACTTTACAAGAACTTTTGATAAAAAGTTACCATCCTGCCTCCATTTTGCACACAGCAGCCTCAAGTTTCATCTTTATTTTCCCCAACAAGATTCCTCTAATGGTGTGTGCTAGAAACTGTTGGCCTAAACAGGCAGACTTGTTTTCCTTTCTGAAGTGGGCTGTTGTTCACTGTCATGTGCTGCTTAAGTCACAGATCAGACATCTGATGTGGGTCTGGGCATGAATGGGCAGTGAATGAAGGAGATGAGAGAGGAGCTGAAAAAGGGCTGTTGGTGTATTCAGGTAGTGGCCTCTGGTTGTGTCACACACAATCCACTCTGCCCTCCCACAGTGCTTGCTGCAGCTCTGAGTGATGGTCCCAGCTGGAGTCCAGCAGCTGGATTAAGTCTGTAATTAATGTCATACTTATGGGTCTTGACACTGTGTCACTGTGAATTGTTGCCAGAATCAGTTTCTGAGGAGGAACTGTTTACTGATGTTCCTTGGTTGATCTGAAATCTAACTGGACAAGTAGTTACCACAGTTCCATGTCCTCTTCTCAGTGTCAGCCAGTGCTCACAGTTCAGACTGGAAAGCACATAAATCTTGAGTGAAGTGCTTGAAAATATGGAAATGTTCAAGGCCAGGTTGGTCAGGGCTGGGAGCAACCTGGTCTGGTGGAAAGTGTCCCTGCCCAGCAGGGTGCTGGAACCAAATTATCTTTAAGGTCCCTCCCAACCCAAATCACTCTGTGATTATGATTCTATGAATTACTACAGTTTTATGTCAGTTAAATCCATATTTGCATCAGTTCTTCAGTGGCTGCTTTTTAAGGTACCATGTATATTCTGAACCATTAATTTTATAACAGCTTTGGAAAGATTAGGCAGTTCATTGTGCAGCTAGAAGGACTCTTAGAATGAGAATGATTCTTGTTTTCTGGAAGCATTCACAGGAAAGTAGTGACTAAAATTATCAGCTGAGATCAAACATTGCTATTAAAAATAAAGGCATTTTTATTCAGCTATAATTGCCTTAACAAGAGTGAAACAGCCATAGGCTAAAGGTGACTGTACTGGCTTAAAATATTAATTTTATTCATTAGTCTTTGCATAATTTTCAGTAAAATATAGTGATTTTGTTGTCTGTTCCTTAGTTTATATTCTTAGAAGCCCAATTCTTCTAATAACACTTTGTGTTCATTTTTTACTGGCAATGGTGCAATTCTAGGATGAGCTCTCTGACGTTAGCCAGGCAGGCTCCAAATGTACTACGCCAGCATCCACAGCTGCTTCAGATGTTCCTGTGCTGCCTGCTGAAACCCCTCAAAAGGAAAATGTTGAAGGGCTTGCAAAGGACACAGAGATGGCAAATGAGAAACTGGATGTAAGCAAGAATATTGAAGTACAGGCAGCTCAAGAGACAAGAAATGTGTGCACTGGTGAGCTGCTTTAACTTCTTAGTGTAGGGTTACTATGGACCTCATATTTGATCACTTAATTATCTTTTGTTGTGCAACAAATGAGAATGGGATTTTTACTCAGTGTTTTAAGGAGTACAGAACATTGGTCAGAGATAAGTCTGTTGTTTATTGGTGGCTTTAGTAATTTTTGCTTCAGAATCAGAATTTTTTATGACCTTTTTTGGCAGTAGAAAAGGCACAAACAGTTGTCAAGTGTTGGACATCTTGGTTTCAATTGCAGAAGTAGTAGGAAATAAGTGCTGTTGGATGACTTGTGTTAAATTCAGGAGAGACCTAGAAATTCCAGTGTCTGCACTAGGGTATCAAAATCTGTGGGTCATTTAATTTAATTATTTTGATGAGTCTTTGCACAGAAGTATCCTATGTTGATGCTTAAGAACTGCTACATGTAGTTGGTAGGTCATGATGATTTTGTTTACGGGCATGTACCTCTTGCTTTGACCCAGGGGAAAATGAAAATGAAGAAAAATCTGAAGTTCAGGCAATTATTGAGTCAACTCCAGAGTTGGATATGGATAAAGATCTCAGTGGATATAAGGGTTCCAGGTAAGTTGTCTATTGTGATTTGAGGAAGAAGACAAATTTTAGAAGGTTATTTAAAGATGCTGTGTATGGGAATTTTCTTTTTCTTGTCTTTGTTTAATTCTTGTGATGAGATGGATAAAATTATCCTGTGTGGTGAATCTTAAGGGTGTAAAAAGAGCTTTGTGTGAAAGGAGCCCCTTCTCTGACCGGAGGAATATTTTGACTTCCTACTATTCAGTTCTCTTGCATTCTTGTTATATTAAATGTCATCCAGTTTAGCTGAGCTGTCTGTTCTTCAGGCATTTGGGCTAAGTCCTGACACAACGGAATTTCAATAGGCCAAAACTTGATATGCTTTAATTTTTTACACTCCTGTCCAGCTCAGTATCAGCAACTGCTTTAAGTTTGGGATCTTGATGGCAAAGCATTATTTGAAAATAGAATCTGGAACTTGTAAACCAGCTGAAAGCTTGTGGGGTTTGTTTGAGGGAACAAATGAACTACTGGTAAAGAATACAGAGAAAGCTTTTCTTCATTGTGGGAGTGTTATCTCCCTGCTTTTTCATGTCTTGTTTAATTCTCTGCCCAGCACTCCCACCAAAGGCATCAAGAACAGAGCATTTGACCGTAACACAGAGTCACTCTTTGAAGAGCTGTCATCTGCTGGTTCTGGCCTAATTGGAGATGTGGATGAAGGTGCAGACTTACTGGGTAAGAAAGATGCTGAATACAGAAATTTTCCTTTTTAGGAAGTGCTTAATTAGTCTTGCTGGATTTGTTGTTAGGCTTCGTTTGCATTAAAATTGTTTGAGTAGTGTCCTAAGGTAATCATTGGAATGCAAAACCAGAAGCAAGTGTTACTTGTTTCTCTCTGTATAATGATCTTCTTTTGGGGCACTTCCTATACTATTCTCCATTTCTTCCTGTATGTTCTCTTACATAATGATTTTTTTCTCAAGGTAGGATTTTTGTCTTGAACTAGTTTTAGGTGGTTTTATTCAGGTCATGCCTGATCTGTAGTGGCTTGGCTTTATCACCTTCTTAGAGATTTTAATTTGAAAGAGAATTGCAGCAAATGAAATGGTGGTAATTTGAAAATCAAACTGTTAATTGATAGGGGAGGGGAAACCCATATTTCTCTGTCCCCTAAGCAGCTTACTGTTACTTCTGTGCTGGCTGAAATAAATTTGAGTTTTGAGTTGACCAAGATCAAAAAGGTAATCAGAAGAATAATCTTTCTATAAAAAATATAGCAAGATATTTTTACTATGTAATTGTTCAGGCCTCATTTTGAAATAATGAAAGCTGGTACTATGGAATGTATAAAATGCAGATGGTAATCTCAGGTGCTTTCAAAATGAGTTGTGTGCAGAAAGTCAGCAGCTTGTTTTCTTCTGTCCTCTGACCCTGCAAAAATACAGATTGTTAGGACTGTTAAAACTCCTGTGTGCAATCTGGATTTCTGGTTGTTCAGTGTTCCTCCAGAAACTTATTTTGTATCAAACAGGTGACATTTCTGCAGGTATTACTCACTAGGAGTAATGGGCCTATCTCCAGTCTGAGATGGTTTTTCTTTGTTGTCACTCTGAGCAGTGAGGCTCTCCACATCCTTACTGCAGCATACTCCATCTAAAACTCTTGGATGTCATTCCATTTTCACAGAGACAACTAATCACACATTCTGCATGCAAAAATACAGATACTGGAGAAGTATTAACATGGAGCAACATCCATCCCTTAGCTGTGATAAATTGATTAAAGAAATCAAACTATTGTCAGGATGTCCTGATCCTAATGCTTTGTTTTTCATGGGCAAAAAATAATATACTTTTTAGTATAACTTATTTAAGGTTTGTCAGTGAGTTTATTACCATTTTCTGTAAATCTGTTGCTGGAAAAACCAGTGTGTGCACACTAAGCCTAGGGTTTTATCTGCATTTGTTATGCAGAATGTGTTGGTCTGAAAATTTTATTTTAGAATCGTAATTTCGCTTTGAGAACAACCATAGTCTAAAACCTGAAAAGCCACACCTGCATCCAGGCTAGCCTGTGTGTTTGAAGCATTTGGACCTGTTCTAAGTGAGCATTAAACTTCAGTACAGAGTTGTTTAAAAATAGTTAATTGGGATTCTCTAATCTGTTTTCTCTTGGGCTGCATACCCAGGGGAATATTCTGGTGTGTATGCTTCTTTTTTCAAAAAATCTTTGAAATCTGTTGCTTCTCCAGTTAGGCATTCTTGGTTGCTGCTCTCATACAATATGTTCTCTGCATTTTTTCCCTGCTTGGTAACTTTTTTTGCCGTTGCACTCTGGCTTTCTAGTTTTTGTTCTTGCATTATAAAAGATCCTGAAACCTCTTGGATGTGATCCTACATACTTTTATCTGTGAATATTGAAAACGTTTAAAATGCAATAACAACCTTTGAATAAAATCTCCTGATGGCTGTAGTATAGGAGATTTCTCCAGATATTGATAAATTAACCATGGTTGATCTAAGTTACTTGAGTAAATGTCATTTGCTTTTAATCCAAAACCTAGAGAGGGAAATGTCAAAAGAGGGAGCTTTGACTTGCATGTCTATTTATAGATACCTTTTCTTCTTTATCCAAATATCTTTAAAGTCTTCTGCTGCCAAAGTTGCTTAGAAGATTGTGTTCCTAAAGTATTTTAAAAGGCCTCCACCATTAAGATACCTTTTTCATTCATTCTGTTAATCTTGAGTTAACATAATTTGTTATCTGTGTTGTAATTATTTTGCTGTGCAAGATGCAAAATAATTATTCTCTCCTGAAATTACCTTTTTTTAAATTCGGAAAATTGTATTAGGTATACCAAAAATAGGGTGAGAAATTAATTTCCAGAAATTTAAGTAATACTGAAGTAGTTACTTGAGAAGTTATGTTCACTTTTCTCCATTAGAGCATATTAATTGGAAACTTCTGAATGTCTTAGAATTTCTTCCAAGGACTGTGCTTCTAAATTATGTCACAGAAAATGAGAGACTTTTATTAAGTTACTGATTCTTAAAAGAGGTTTAACCATTGGAAATGGTTGTGACAAACTTAAATTCTTCCACATCAGTCTTTTGTATAAATCCTGCTTCTAATCACATCACATCCCACTTCAGATTTTTGGTGGTGGCTTTGTTTTAATTCACTCTTACTTTCTAAGTCTTAATCTTTTATTCTTCCTCACTCATGCTACACCTCACATGAAATGTTTCTTGTTCTTGTTTTTGCTCTACATGGAATGCATGGGCTTTAAAGACCATAATTTCTTTGGTAAGGTATCATTTGCTCTGGGGAAATCTGCAGGGCTTTCACAATCTGAACTTTATTCAGCATGTCTTGTGTCTATAACTGATACACATTGGTATATAACAATCTATTTATAAAACATCAAAAAGCAATAATTATAATGGTGTAAAAGACAGTTGAGCATTTTAAACTGAACATTTTGTGCTCTTAATACTTCTGCAACATATGCTGTGTTTGGTTTTTGACTTAGTACTGTAACATCTTCGAAATATACAGAGTAGCAGCACTGGCCTGTGCTTAGTTAGGGATGTCTTTGGACTTTTTCAATTGAAGTCAGGCTGGGAGAAGGTGGGAGGGAAAGCTAATTGTGGAATGTAGGTTGGACCTGAAACTTGAGATAGCTCACAGTTCTTCTGACAAGTTGGTCATACGTAAAATTAATTTAACTTTAGACGATGGCAAAACATAAGTTTTGTAAAAACATCCATTTCATTTGCTAATTTAATGTGTTTGTTTCTTTTGATAAGGAATGGGGCGTGAGGTTGAAAACCTTATTTTGGAAAACACTCAGCTGCTGGAGACAAAGTAAGTGAGAATGTTTATGTAAAAAAATACTGACTTCCTGTTACTTCATTATATCGTCAGTATCCTGATACAGAAATGAAACTATACAAAGGAAATTCAGTTCTAAGAGTAATGGGGGTGTGAGTATTTTGAATTTTTAGGTGTATTTGTCTGAGTTGGTCTTCTTCTACAAATTAAGGACCTAATAAGAAAAATCTGCTTTTATCCTTGTAAGACTCCAAGAAATGCAGTGCTGTGTCCTGATGAGATCAACTCCCTGTCAGAAACACAGCTTTAAGTGCAGAGGCAAATCCGCTGGAGCACTGTTGAGGATTTATTCAAAGAAAACTGATTTATCAGCACTTTTTTCTAATAGAGAGAATGTGAATGTGTTTGAATGTTGGAGATTAGGGGGGAGATGGTTTGACCTCTAAGAAAGCTGTACCTTCTTACAGCAGCTCTGTGTAAGAAATGTGTAGGTCTTAAAAAATAAAACCAAGCTGTACTGCAAGACCATGGCCATCCTTATAACCATATGTTTTCAATGTTTGTGTAGAAATGCACTGAATGTAGTGAAGAATGATTTAATAGCAAAGGTGGATGAATTGACCTGTGAAAAGGATGTACTACAAGGTGAATTAGAGGCTGTAAAACAAGCAAAGCAAAAGCTTGAAGAGAAGAATAAAGAACTGGAAGAAGAGCTGAGAAAGTAAGTTTAATTCCATGGTTGTAAAAAAGGAAAAGAAGAAAAACTCTACTGTGGTATTTAGTGCAGCTGTTCTTTATTTTTTATTTAGAGCTCGTGCAGAAGCAGAAGAAGCAAGACAGAAGGCTAAAGAGGATGATGATGTAGGTGTATATGTGTGGTTTTGTGTGTGTAATTCAATGGGACGTTAGAAGTCTGTGTGTTTAGTGAGTGCTACTAAAACTTACTGCTTAATAAGTAGTGGTAAAGTTCCTCCCTGTATAGAAATGACAGAAGACTAAAGAGCACAAGTAAACTTAAATTGACAGTGATTAGTTTGCTTGCTTTCCTCTCTGCCCACTGTTGTCACACTCTTTATTTGAAGAGCTGTTTTCGTTCACATTATATTGCATACAAAGGATGGGAGGAGAGGAAGGTAAAACCCAGATTTTCAAAGCCCCAAACTATTTGAAATCTGGAATTCTGCCCTAGCCTGGCTGTTACCAGGAGGCAGAGGGTGGCTCTCCAGGGCCTCTGGTGTACCTTTGTCCCTGCCATGTTCATGAACTTGTGTGCCTAGAGCGATGTCCCCACGGCGCAGCGCAAACGCTTCACACGAGTGGAAATGGCCCGAGTGCTGATGGAGAGGAACCAGTACAAGGAGAGGCTGATGGAGCTGCAGGAGGCTGTCCGATGGACTGAGATGATAAGGTGAAAAGGCTCTTCTAGAATCTTTGACAGAGCTCCTTGTGATTTTTAGATGCTGAGTGATCTGGTCAGCAGGTTCATTGCCTTCTGCTTGTTTTCCTCATGCCCATGAGGATCATCGTTTTTAAGTTATGGGATTATAATTTGTCAGAATGGTTCTTGGTGAGACCTCAGTGAAGATGTGTTACTTCATATGATGTGGAATACACTCATTTTTTCAAGGGATGCTTATTCTGGAACAGTTACAAAATTTGGTAATTATAAATAACATTAATCTGGTGAGCATTAAAAATTACTCTGTGTGTACACATGCCTTGTGATGTCAAAATAGGGATAATGTTGTCTTCAGACTGAGCATAATTCCTTTGGAAGGTCTTGGGTTGTTCAGGATAAAACAGTTCAAAGTTGTGCAAGGCGTGTTAAATATAAGCAGTAAAGATGGTGATTTGGTCCTATTTGCATCCTGAATATTCAGTTGTTTGGAAGGTATGGTTTAAAAACGTAAGTTCTTCTGCCTCAGACCTCAGCCCAACTCATGCTTGTCCCTGACCACAGGGACCAGAGGCTGTGGTGCTGCCTGCTGGCCATGGACAGCAGTGACATATGATTGTTCCCATTGTCCTCATGCCTGTGACCCTTTGGGGAGGAAAAATGTTCATTCCCAACAGCTGTGGCTTGTTCTTCTGTAGCTATTATCTGCTGTAGAAATCCTCTCCTATCTCTTATTTATGGCTATGGGAACACTTTATCAATTATTTACTGATGTATTGAAGATTAATAGGCTTTAAAACAAAAACCAGTGATTAAAATATTAAATAGGGAGCAGAATAATTTAAAATGGTTTGCTTTTCAAGCTTTTTTCATTACAAAGTGTTTTGCAGACTTGTCTTTTCTATCTGAAAAGTTGCCAGTTTGTTTGGGATGCAAAGAAATGTGGATGAAGTTTATTATGTAACTTTATTTCCTGTAGTGGGAATTTCAGTATTGTGCTCTGATCAGTAAAGAAGTAGTAGTGTGAAAAAACAGGCTTTGTTATTTTCAAGATGTTATCCTTTTTTAAAAAATAAGAGTTACACACTGTTCCATTCCTCTTCCTTTTTTAGTTGTTGCTTACTCAGTAAACTTGGAATTAATTTCTTGTAGAGCATCCAGAGAAAATCCAGCCATGCAAGAGAAGAAAAGATCAAGCATTTGGCAATTGTAAGTATAGAAACACAACTTATTGGCAGAAATAAAGACCCTAACCAATTAGCTGGCACATTTGTGTATGTTAGCTAATTATTTTTTGGCAGATGAAGATATCTTAACATTTTTCCTCTTGTTGCCCAGTATGCCAACTCGGTAAGACTGCTCTGGAAGACAAATTGTATTGTAAGCTGCAGCATGTAGTGAGTGGCTGTGCACTTGGTGAAGTTAAATGCCAAAGTGCGGGAATTTTTTTCCTAGCTGGATATGCACCAGGATTCTTGTTCTGAACATTTTTTCCAGATTAATTTTTATGATGAAAAGTAGAAACCTGAACAGCATGTGTGGGTTGCATTTATTGCAGCTTCTTTTCCCTCTGTGAAGTGCAGCTTACCAATTGTTACATTCTCCTTTCTGAATTCAAGCTCTTTAAATCTAAACCAGTGTTTAGATGTTTGTCAAATAATCCTCTTCATGTTGTGATTTTCTGATAACTATTTTATCTTGTTGCGTAGAAAATAGTGGGTTTTTTGAAATGCTCTCTGCATGAACTAATGTCCTTCCTAGAACTGTCTTCCAGGTGTGATGTTCACATCCTAATTTTGTTGGTTCCCTGTGGATGTTAATTCAAGATGAAGTTCCCATTGAATTTGATAAATGGGATTATAATCCTTTAAGAATTTTTCTTAGGGACATGAGTTTTTGTGCTTTGAGAGTGTTGCTGAGTGTGTTGGGCTCCAGTTTCTTACTTTTACTGTCTTGAACAGGCTGGCATATGCTGTGTTTTGCCTGCATAGTCAAACTTGGATGTATCTGACAAATCTTGACTCTTGTCTTTTTCTCTTCTTCTAGTTTTAGCAGGCTCTTCAGTTCATCCAGCAATACAGCAAAGAAACCAGAACCTCCTGTCAATGTTAAATATAATGCTCCAACCTCGCACATTACTCCATCAGTCAAGAAAAGAAGCAGCACCTTATCTCAATTACCCAGTGACAAATCTAAAGCCTTTGAATTCCTCAGTGAAGAGTAAGACATCTTGGTTTTATAGTAGATATGTTCTATCAAGTGTTTACTCTTTTAGTCCTATGAGATTACTAGCATGCTGCTAAGTGAAGTATAATCTCCTGAAGTGAATGTTGATTCATAAGGACTCAAGATAGTTCAGAGTGAAACGTGCAGCGGTGGGTGAATACTTTGAGCACCTGGCTGAAATATTCTACTTGGTAAATACCACTGTATTTCAAGAAAGTGCATTTAGGCACAGGAGGCAACACTTGATACACTTTTATATGAAAATGTCGTAGCTGGGCGGGTACTGTACAACTGTATGACTGTACAGGTACTTAAGGTTCACTTAAGAGTCAGGCTAACAAGAATCTGTAATTATTTTTTTTTCCTGTGCTTTGTTTTATCAATATATCCTTGTGAGTTACAACTTTTAAAGCTCCTACTAGAACTGCACAACCCAAGTTAATTTCTTTTAAGGATGCTGGCAATAGACTTTCTGGTTTTGCCTGTTTTTCTCCAGTCCCTTAAAAGTAGCCCACAGGAAACCTGGTGTCTTGATAGGTGAAAAAAACCTGGGAATATCCTGGGAATAACCCAGTGCTTCCACAGTGATCTTGGTTATTAAGTTTAACAGCAATTCCCATTGCACTAGAGATTCTAAAGAGCATAAGTAAGAAGTTCCTCAATCCTGATTCTTGCCCAGAACTGAAGCCAGTTTAGCCTCACGCCGGGAGCAGAAGAGGGAGCAGTACCGCCAGGTGAAAGCTCACGTCCAGAAGGAGGATGGCAGAGTGCAGGCTTTTGGCTGGAGTCTACCTCAGAAGTACAAACAGGTATGATGCTTTCAAGTATAATGGTAACAGCTTCATGTTTTGTCACATTTGAACAGGGTATGATTTCACAGCTTGTGTTTGAGTAATTCCAGCTTTTTTTGGTTGAACTTAGCAGTAAAGAATCTTTCTAAAGGAGACAACAATGCACAACTCTTAATTGTGTTTAATAAATTCTGAGCAACTGATTCCAAAGATTGTAAACCCCTTTTAAAGGTAAAATTTTTTCTGTTTGTTTGTTTTTTTACCTAGATGGCAAATGGTGGACAGGGTGAAAATAAGATGAAGAACTTGCCTGTACCTGTTTACCTGAGACCTTTGGATGAAAAGGATACCTCTATGAAGGTAGGATGTTTCTAGTGATGAAAAGAGACTTGGGCAAACTATAGCTTGAATATTTTTGTTTTGGACTCTATTACATTCTTTTTCAAATAAGTTGTTTCTTTTTAAAACATAGTGAAAAAGAATTTATGTCTCAGTAAAATGTATATGACTTTAATTCTAATTTATAACTTAAAATGGACTCCCAGTATTTAATAATGATGATATCACTTAGCATATTTAACAATGCTTGTCTCTCTTTTTTTAAGATTCAAGTGAAACATTCAAGTGAAAGTTTAAGATTCAAGTGAAACATTTTTTTTTCTCCCAAGCTGTGGTGTGCTGTAGGGGTGAACCTGTCAGGAGGGAAGACACGAGATGGAGGGTCTGTGGTTGGTGCCAGTGTGTTCTACAATGATGTGACTGGAGTGGATGCAGAGGGCAACAAGCAGCAAACAGGATCCCAGAGTAGCTTAGATAAACTAGATCAAGAGCTCAAGGTAAGGTCACTATGAGGCACATTTAATAAATTATATAGTTGCACACCTTTACTGTGTAACTGTAGAGTACTAAAGTATTTTCTGATCAGGATAATGGTAACAAATAGAGTTTTCTTGGTTAGTTATTAGCCCAGGATGTTTGGGTTGTCGAATCCAACTGTTAAATACTTTTGAATCTTCCCTTGCTGGCAAGTCTCAGGAGCAAATAAATTTTACATCAAAATGATGTGCTGGTTATACCAGTGCTGCCTCCTTTAAAAACCATTTATGACAGACCTGTTTATGTTCTAACTGCCATGGATGGAATTCATATTAAGGGCATAAAAACAGACTAAATTTTCAAGTGCTTTGGGATATCACATTAACTTGTGGTGATACTGAGTATGGCAGTTGGCATGTCAATAATGTTTTTATTTTATACTGGTCTAACTGTATAATTATGCAGTGTAATTATAATACTTTATGTATTTTTAATGAAAGTATGAAATATGAGGGAGCTTTATACTTCAGATACATAAAGAACAAGTAACTACGTGTAGTTTTACAATGGCATTGAAGATACTTAACTTCCCACATATTTATGTATAAAATGTGTGAAAATGTAAGACCATAAAAGATCAAATGTAGTTATTCTATTCTTGTCCCCCTTTCTGTTGTTCATTTCTGCCTTTGTTGTCCTTCAGGATCAGCAGAAGGAACTGAAACACCAGGAAGAATTATCCAGTCTAGTTTGGATCTGCACTAGCACACATTCTGCTACAAAAGTTATCATAATTGATGCAAACCAACCAGGGAATATTCTGGACAGTTTCATTGTTTGCAATTCTCATGTGCTTTGTATTGCCAGTGTGCCAGGTAAACACTTGGGCTGGTTCAGCTCCTGCTTTTTTTAACTGATTCTTATTTAGCTTTTCTTATGCAATGGAAACCCACAGATTTGTTACTTAGTATGATAACAAGTTACTGTAACAGAGCAATAAGAAAGTGGTTAGTTAAACATCAAACTGTTGCATTTCTACCCTACTGTTTCACTCTTTAGTTGGCTGTTGACTTAAATGAACAGAAAATCAGAGAGATGTCAGCAGCCAAGGGGAACTGTTTTGTTTGGTGTACTGTAAACTCTGCAACAGTGTTGATATTTCATGGAATTGTGAGCATCACAAAAAGAATAATATGTATGTTGCTTTTTTGACTTCTTCAGCCTCTTGAAAATAAGCAAGCTCCCTGCAGAGAGAATCCTTGTTGCGTTTGAGTGTGTTTTAAGTCTTGAAAGTATAAGAGGTTTGGACATGAGAAAAATGTTTTTTTTTTCCAGAACCAAGGATCTGTCGCACCTAAATTCTTCATAAAAATATAGACAGGTGGCCTTGTGTACCTGCTCTGTTATGAAATCTGATTTTAGAGGGAGATGTAATTAAAATTGAAATAAACTATTTGGAAAGCTGCAGAATGAAATACAGTGAATGAGACTGTAGTGCAACATATGTTGATCTTGCTTTTGTTTTGTGATCTTTGTGACAGTGTCTTCCACATTTGCTGATTATGTGAAACTAACCTTTTAGATAGGGGCTGTCTGCATGTTCCATCTCGGGAGAGCTCATTGAGCTTGCAGCTTAGTTATTAGATAGAGAAGTGATTTAGCTTTATCCCTATGAAAAACACCCAGTGACAGGGTCCAAGGGAATGGCCTGAAGTTGTGTCAAGGGAGGTTTAGGCTGAATATCAGGAAAAGATTATTCCCTAGGGCGTGGTGGGGCACTGAAAGAGCTCCCCAGAGCAGTGGTCCTGGCACAAAGCCAGAGCTCCAGGAGCATTTGGATAATGCTCTGAGGCAAAGGGTAGGATGGCTGGGTGTCTGTGGAGGGCCAGGAGTTGGACTGGATCTTTGTGGGTCCCTTCCAGCTCAGGAAATTCTGTTATTCTGTGTTTAATCTCTTTCAGGGGCAAGAGAAACAGACTACCCTGCAGGAGAAGAAGGGTCCCAGGAAGCAGATTCCAGCCAAGTGGACAAATCCTCCCTGTGTGGCAGTATGACCAGCAACAGCTCTGCTGAGACTGACAGCCTGCTGGGGGGCATCACTGTGGTGGGCTGCACTGCTGAGGGTCTCACGGGGGCTCCTGGTGCTCATGACACCAATGGGGCCTCACCTGTGGTGGAGAAACAGTCAGGTATGTGATAAATATTGCAGGTGTGTCAGGGCTGGCCAAACACCTTGAGATGCAGCTGGAAATAAGTGGTGCAAGTACTGAGGTTAACAGTGTGTAAGCTGTAATAACATAAACTCTCTGTAAAGCTGAAAAAGTGGTGGAGGTGACATGAAATGGGAATTGGCAGCTGCTTCTTGCAGGTACTTTTGAGAGAATTCTTGTGCCTGCTCTAGAGAGAGATTTTAATGTAGTATTTGAAATGCAGGTCATGCCAGAGAGTGACTAAAATAAATGCCTTGGATTTTGTCAAGTCTTTATAGAGATTTAAGTGAAACTGATTATTTCATAGACATTCATACTTCTCTTTGTCATATGGCCTACAGATCTGTATGGTGATATGATTGTCACTGGATATGTGGTGGATGGCCTTGTTTACTGCTGTCCTAGTTAATAATTTAATGGCCAGTTTGAGCCATCAGTCACTGGGTTAATACTTAAAAGTGCATTTGACATTTGTTTATACAGTGCAACCTGCTAAAATTTGGGCATTTCTGATGTGATGCTTTTTGATTCTGATGTTGAGTTGTAACTGCCGGGCTATAACAGCTGTTCACTTCAGTTTTAAGTTCTGGCTGTTTTAAACAATAGCAAATTCTACCGGAGTTGTTAAAAACTTTTTCAAATTTGTTTGTTTCATAGATATTGAAGCTGAAAATAATTCAGTAGATGAAAACATTCCGACGGCAGAGGAGGCAACAGAAGCAACAGAAGTCAATGCAGGGACAGGAGAAGACACAGCTGATATTGCACAAACTGGAGTCTACACAGAGCATGTCTTTACAGATCCCTTGGGAGTGCAGCATACAACAGAGGCATCTCCAGTGTATCAGCCTAAGTACCTAGTCTCAGGCCTCATACCTCTTAAAATGTGTTTTTGACAAGTATAATGTTTGTAGGCACATAGCTTGGAGACAAAGTGACTACTTTTTTTTCCTTTTTAAGTGTGTTGAAGTTTATATAAGTAATCTTGGTACAAGGCTGTGCTTTGTGACTCTCTTCTGCCATTCCCCAGAGGTAATAATACTGATGGGTTTGAATGCAACCTAGTTTTCCCTGTAAATGTCCACTTGAAGAAATTAATGGTTGAGGTTTTCATCTGTATGGTACTTCCATGTGTGGTTACTGTGTTTTTAAACATCTCATGTACTTCAAAAGCCAGTGTAGGAACTCTCAATTGTAAAGTAAACACTTGGCTTATAGCCTGAGTAATCTGTGCATTTCATTAAATGTATTTTTACTGATGTTTTTTTCTAGTACTGAGTCAGAGTTATATAAGGATGTTGCAGTTCTGCCAAGTGAGCAAGATCTAGTAAGAGAAGAAGCACAGAAAATGAGTAGCCTTTTACCGACCATGTGGCTTGGAGCACAGAATGGATGGTAAGGAAATGCTAATCTTGTTATATTTATTTATAATAATTACTTTAAACTTGCTTCTTGTGCCTACAGGCCTGATAACTGTCTCAAGTCAAGACTGAGCACAGGATAATCTCAAGAGAGCCAAAACTTTGAATGCTTTGCGGCAGTTTTTAGGCATTACAGAATTGAAAGGAAGTATTGTAGGTGATTAGCAAGTCCTTTTTTGTTAGATAATGCTTCATCTGCAGAGAAGTTCTGGGCTTTTTTTGTATTCAGAGAAATTGTTATGGTCTGTTAATTACATAACTTTCAGTATTGTAGTATCCTAGAAAAATGTATTGTAATTTTTACTGCAGATGGATCTGCAAGGGAGTTTGTAATGCTTTAGGCCTCTGAAAAAGCCATTCTGCTGCTCATGTAGTTCTTCCTTTCAGTGTACACATAATTTCCAGTGGAAGATGAAAACCTGTCTTCCCTTTGATTGTGGATTTCAGTTTATAAGGGTTTTGTTTGTGGTTGTTTTTGTCTGGTAGTGCTTTTAATCCCTCCTGATTTGTCTTTGCAGCCTGTATGTTCATTCGTCAGTGGCCCAGTGGAGGAAATGTGTTCATGCCATTAAACTTAAAGATTCTATTCTCAGTATTGTGTAAGTCCTGAAAGAATGTCATGTAAATCATAATGAATTTCTGTTAAAATACTTTCCAAAGTAGTTTTATATTTCCTCCTCAGATATTGGGAGTGTCAGTTGCCATAACTGCCTGCATGCTCTTTGAGGGACAGTGGAAAACTTCTAGGGAATAAGGAAAATAAAAGGAATCTTGTACCTGTTGGAGATACATGGCCCAAAGGATGAGCTGTAGCTATGCAAAACAGTTATAGGTTGCTATTTTTGCTGTTTTCTCCAGGCATTGTAACCAGATATATTTCAATCTCTCTGAACTGGATTTTGATCCCTTGTTACATCCCTTCTCTTGAGCTTTATTGTAGAAATCAAAACACTGAGGCTAATAAAAAATGACTGTAAAAAATATGCCGAAATATTAAATGTTTATACCTAGTTTTAAACCTGCCTTCTGAGCAGAGCAGTCTAACAGAGTGTGTTGTTGTGCCTCCTTTTTCCTCAGACATGTCAAAGGAATAGTCTTGGTTGCACTGGCAGATGGGACGCTTGCGATCTTTCACCGGGGAGTTGGTAAGGATTCTGTTGCATCTGGAAACCAGGGAATTTTCAACAGTAGTCAGGAAAGAAATGTGCCATTTACAAGTAATGTTGTGATAATGTATTCCCCAATGACCTTTTTCTGGGTTGTCATGAGAAATATTTCTTGTTATTTCAGTTGCAAATTCAGGTTCTGTTTTTGCACTGTTGTGGTGCATTCATGGAGTATTTTCTTGTTCTGAAATGGAGAATGGGATAGATCTGCTAAATAGGGAAAAGCCATCTGCAAGTCCGTTTTGGTCATCATCTTGCATTTGAGCATCATTATGCTCAATAGTCATGTCTTCTGTTTTATTAGTGATCAAAATTGTCTCTGGGCAAGTCCTTCAATGAGAATTTTGTAAGCATCCCTTCAGAATTTCTGCCCAAACTGCTCCTGAACCAGCTCCATTCTTCAGCCTCCAGAAATACGACCTGGAGGGGAAGGTCTTACTATGAGCAACCGAAACTTAGCTATTAGCTTGTTTTTCCACTCTATTCATTTCATCTTTCCCTTGTGATGCTTAAATCCTTGTGCTCAGCATTTAAAAGAATTAAAAAGGTTGCACAACACTAATGCAAATACTGGAAAAGATGCAGCTGGGATGAAGTTGGTTTTAGTGGTTTTGGTTTTTTTAATTTTTTTTAAAACTCACTGCAGTGGTTTACAATACCTAAGCCTCTCTAGTGAATGTCATTGATGATCTGTGGCCTTAGTTCAGTCTACCAGAAGAATTTCAATTGGCGTTGAATAACAAAATTTAGTATGTTTTTAGTAGATTTCAGGTGCCTTTTTTAAGATCTTGCAGCATATTTAAAAAAAATCTGCACTGGCTACACTTGTATGTTCAGCCAAGCAGCAGGTGCCTGGTGCTGTGTGGGAAGCTGTTTGTTCTCACAGGTACTGGTCCTAGTCAAGCAGAGCCTGTAGCACAGGGTAACCTGCTGATTTAAAAATGTTTTGCTGGATTTTTAAACTGAATCATTGTACAACTTTATTTTTTAAAAAAGGTAACATTTGGGATGTTAGTTGCTGTTTTAATGAGGAGCCTAGCCATAAACTTATACAGATTTACCCAGATTATTACAGTGCTTTAAAAAAATCAGACTTTTAAGATAGTTGCTTGTGCTTCTAAATTTTCCTTAAACTAAACACAGATTCCTGTGAGTTTTACTTTTTTTCTTCCTGTTTTTGCAGATGGTCAGTGGGATTTGTCAAATTATCACCTCTTGGACCTGGGCCGGCCACACCACTCCATCCGGTGCATGACAGTGGTACATGACAAGGTCTGGTGTGGCTACAGGAACAAAATCTATGTTGTTCAACCAAAGGCCATGAAAATAGAGGTAAGTTCTGATGGTGATTAAAATAGTTAAATGTTGTGTTTGAATGCTACAGCTCAGACTCCAGAGTAACTCCAGAAATATCTGTTTTCATCATACAGGCTACTTAGCAAATTGGTTTTATGAAAGAGTTGTTTTGGAAGACTTAAAGCTATGATGAGACAGTTCTCACTTACTGAAACCAGTTGTTGGGAGATTTAGTTCTCCACTTTTGGCTGGCCAGAAACTGGAAAGTGTCCTTGTGCAGAGCTTGTAAGGCCAGCTCCCAGCTTATTCTGTGTGCCTAATTTTGTTCTCTGCCCACGTGGAGAGGTTTGTAAGTGTTAATTGACATGTACTCTCCTTCCAGTTAGAGGATAGTTTATGCAAGGTGTGTGAGCTGGTGTTTTATCTGCAGTGTTCAGTCTGTCATCTCAAGACCAGAAAGTGGCTGAGGTTTCTGCAAGCCTTGAGCAATGTAAGTGCTTCAGCTTCTGCTAATTGGCCTGAGACATGGGCCAGGCCTTTGAGGGTGACTGCTCAGCTCTTCTGAAAGTATCAAATCACCCAATAATAACCTGTTTTTGTGAAGAAGGCTATAGGTGTATATGGGAAAACTGAAATGAAGTTCTTATAAAAGTGAGATTGATTGTTTTGCTCGTGGATAGTGTGTATTTTGCACAGGTGGGGTTTTTTCAGTCAGTCATGATGGAACAAGGAAGAAAGACATTTTTTTGGGCACATATACCTTGTGCTGTGGCAGCAGGATCTCAGACCAAAAAGGCTCCAGGTTCAAGGGAGGCAGAAGCTGGAGCAGGCTGGGATGAGATGCGTAAATGAAGACTGAGTAGGAAGTTACAGCTTTGAGATCACACTCAGGGAAGGGAATCAGCAATTTTAGAGCCTCACATGCTGTTTGTAACTGAGCTAAACACTGTCTGTGCTTTTGCAAATCGGAGGGTTGTGCTTGATTGAAAATTGCCAGTTCAGAATGTATGAGAGTAACAGAGAAACCCTTCTTACTCTTCCCTTTGTTTTACCTTCTGATTTGAACCCCAATGTTTCCTAGAAGTCCTTTGATGCCCACCCAAGGAGGGAGAGCCAAGTGAGGCAGCTGGCATGGGTGGGGGACGGGGTGTGGGTGTCCATCCGCCTGGACTCCACCCTGCGCCTCTACCACGCCCACACCTACCAGCACCTGCAGGATGTGGACATTGAGCCCTATGTAAGCAAAATGCTTGGTAAGTTCCCAGGAAAAACTGGTGTCTGCAGCTTCCTTTTCCTGCTAAGAGATAAGGCAGTTCTTACTGCAGATTTGGGGTAAAGGTGGGTGGAAAGGCCTGTTAAAATCAGTTTGTGCAAACTTGCATCTGAAAGTAGAAGCCTAAGTCAGTCTGTGAAGCATGATGGGGATATGAAGGGTCATCTGTTAGAGTCTGTTGACCTTACCTGGTGTGTAAAGTGTCCTTAAAAACTCATAACTAAAGAGGAAAGTGGTGGTTGAGTTGGGCAGGCACCAGCAGAGACACTACAATATTTCTCTTTTTCTATACTGATACATTTTTTTATAGCTAAAAATGGGAAGAATCCATTACCTGCCTGGGAAAATTGCCTATTTTTTCAAAAAAACCCCTCAAGATAGGAAATTTTTTTGCTGTTGAACCTAGTAAGCTTTCTGATTTTTTTAATTTATATCTGTATAATTTCACCACATACATTACACAACAAATACAGATACAGGCTCAGGGAAATACTTCAGAAGTCACTGCTGTGTGCATTGCATGTGGCTGGTGTCAGCCTTCTGCTCCCCTCATCCTGCTAACAAATGAGAAATTAATTTTAATGGATTACAAACCACTATCTTATATCTGTAAACTCACCTTTTTGTTTGTTTTAAAAGCCAGTAAGCCCCAAAAGATTTTACTTTGTAGTATTGAGGACCTTTTTTGCTTTCTCATAGCTAATGTTAGACTCTTGAAACAGAGGTTCTCAATTTATTTACAGTGTTGTAGCCTTCTAGGTTATCTTTACAACTTAAATGTGCTCCTCTACTTTGTGTCTCTCAGAAGTGGGAAGGAATTACTTGTCTGTGTGATTTGGGAGTTGGATTTAAGATTCTCTGTTGTAGAACTAAAATTATTCTTGCTCATAATTTTTGATGAAAAGCATCTTTTGTTTTTAGGTACTGGTAAACTGGGATTCTCATTTGTGAGAATCACAGCACTTATGGTGTCTTGTAATCGTTTATGGGTAGGAACAGGAAATGGTGTCATCATCTCCATTCCATTAACAGAAAGTAAGTAAAATATCAATGAATAGCACTGGGCAATATGCTGTAGGCATAAAAAAAAAAGAGTATTAAACACCAGTCAGATGCTTGCTAATGGATAGAAAGCTTCACTGCCAGGTCTTGACTCTTTCAGGTTTGTAACAGATGAGGCCTGTGTGATGTTTAGCACCTATATCTGTATATGTGGTTACAATTACCCTGAGAAAATAAGACATCTCCAGAATCTCCTGTACTGCCATTTGAGGAAAGTTGGCTTGAATCAAAGGGACACTTGGAAGCCTTAGAGGTGTTCTGAGCATTAGCAGCGTTGATAGAAGTTTATTGCTTACACGAGACATCATTAGTTTTCTAATGAATGTTATTTTTGATTGCCATATGATCACAAAATACATTTTTCTTTGATTTGAGCATGTTGTTGTTGTTGCTGCTAATACAATTTGATTGGCTTTAGTTTTTGAGAATTCATCACAAAGTGGGTATAAAGGACTGGAACAGAAGTAGCACAGACTGCTTTAAAGGACATGTTCAGAGTTACAGGAGCTGTAAATACATTCAAACAGGGCACTGACATCCAGGTCAAATTCCAATCATGTAAATCCTGGTTTTTGCTTAATAACAGACCCCAGACTCTTGTCATAGGCTGAAACTAATTGAGGGCAGTTGAATCTCAGGAGAAAAGAACAGCTCAAGGGCAAACCAAATCTTAAATAGGTAAGCTTGGGAAGGATCTCTGTGTAAATTGATTGCATTTAAACAACAACAACAACAAATGCCTCAACACTTGTGCCTGAGACTAATGTTATAACAGGTGGACAGAAATTTCAGCAAATGAAATGCAGACCTATGATAGTCCCAGTTGTTCTGTTGTTACTTAGAAAATAATGCAGTCTGACAGGTGAAGTTTAGGGTGATTTAATAGTGAAAACTCTTCATGTTGTATCTGCTTTGTTGAACAGCAAACACATGCATTGTTTCTCCTGTTGTTCCATTGCATTGTCCATCCATTCAGTAACTGTCTTTTTTTTTGCATGAGTGTACTAAGGAAGGACAGACTTCCTGTCATGGATTTTGAGACACTTTAAATCATGCTTTCAAAAATTATAGCTCTTAATTTGCGTCAAGCTTAATTTAATGTTTCCAGACAAGTTTGTTTTAAACCAGGAGTGAATGTGAAGAAATCCCTATTGAAGCTGTTCAGTTGCATTTCATTTCTTTTCGTTGGTTGTGGGTCAGAACAGCCTTTTGGGGGTTGCCTGATAGTGGGGCTGAGAACCCTGGTGAGAAATAGTGATAAATCAGTTACATCCTTGCATGAGCAGTGGCATCTCTCAGTCCCCTGGGTCTCAGTAGCAGGGCAGCAGATTATGTTCCAAAAGGGTACTTGAAAACATGAGTTGTTCTATATTATTCTGGAGCCTCCTGCCAAGGAAAGAGAGAAAGGGGAAACGTTGCTAATCAATAATAAACTTAAAAATACGTGACAGTGCTTTTGTGGTCTATTTTGTACTGAAACTTCTATAGTAAATGCTGTTCTTTGTGAATTTTGATCAAATCTTCTGTAATTAAATATCTGTTGGTTTTTTTAGGAGCTAAAATTTTAAGCTCTACCTTAGCAAAAACCAAAATATGAGCGGTGGGTTCTCATTAATCCTTCTCCTCTACTGTCATACCTATCCATTTCCCCTTTCCTCCTTTCTCACTAGCTGTAATCCTCCACCAGGGACGTTTACTGGGGCTGCGGGGTAAGTGCAGATCCTGAACCAAAACCTATTTTCAGGCTTATAATAGCCACTTTGAGGCTGTTTCCCACTCCTTATAGATTTACCCTTTGTATGTTCCTAAATGTTTTTCCACTTGCAGTTACTGCATTGCAGCAGTTTTATGTTTGCTAAATGGCCACCAATCTGCTCAGCAGTTTAGCATATCATCCTGTGTTGCAGCTGAACTCTCATATAGACTTTCTCTTCCAGCCAATGTGATACCACATCTTATAACTTTGTCATTAATCCACATCATTTGCTGTCTTGTTACAAATCACTGTTTCTTTCACTACTTTGATAGTCTTTGGAATGGAGATGGCTTGTATGTCTAGCATGAGTACTTCTCTGGTTTAATGTATTTTAAAACTTCACAGTAAAATCTAGATGTAGAATGATAACAGGGGTAGCTCTTTCATGCCCACAGGTGGCTGTTTCTGGAGAATTTTTGCTGTCAAGGGCATACATTGATTAGTTGGAATAAAACTGTCTTTAATTACACGTTTAAGTACATGGAATTTGCTCATACTGAAACACGTTAGAGGTACTTATTTTCTATGAAAGATACAGTCCTGTCACAAATTATTTTTTCCCAAAAGTAGGATATTGAAATCTGGTGTTTATGCTAGACTAATAAGAATCCTGCTCCATTTTCTGATGTACTTAAAATAACGAAGCATGCAATCTTTTTCTTTCCAGCTCTGTCTTGAATTGGCATTGCTGCCCTCCTGTTTAATTTTTATCTAAGTTGGCTTTAGCTTTTAGATGGTACCATAAGGTTTCTTAACAAATAACTACTTCAGCAATTTGTGTTTTGAAGTAGAAAACAACCTCTTCTTTTGCAGCCAATAAATCAGCAGCAGGCTCTGGAAACCGTCCGGGGAGCGTGATCCGTGTGTATGGAGACGAGCACAGTGACAAAGTGACTCCAGGGACATTCATCCCCTACTGTTCCATGGCACATGCACAGCTCTGCTTCCACGGCCACCGGGATGCTGTGAAATTCTTTGTCGCAGTACCAGGTGAGGTTTTGTTACCACCTTCAAAAGAGGTGGTTTTTTGTTTGGGTTTTTTGTTTGTTGTTTTTTTCCTTCATTTGACTTAGTTAAACCCAGTGTTTAGGCAGATAGCAAGAGTCCTCTTAGAAGCAATGCGTTGTATTTTAATTACAAGGCTTGTCTGATTGCTAAGTACAGCCCTGTTTAATGGGAGGAAAAGGGCTGGATCACAAGCCAGGACTTTGCTTCCTTCTGTGAAAAAGGGGCTGTGCTAAGCAAGCACTTGCCTGTTAAGAAGGCATTCAACTGCTTTAGGCATTGTCATCCAATGACTAAGCACAGAAGGCTTTACTCTGAGATAAAGCATAAAAAAGTGTTCTGTTTTTCACCCAGGTCAGGTTGTTTGCCCTCAGAGTAGTGGTGGAACAGATCTAACAGCTGATAAACAAGCCCAGGAGTCCTTGAACCAGAGTCCCTTAAAATCAATGTTGGTGATAAGCGGTGGAGAAGGATACATTGACTTCAGAATGGGTAAGAAATCTGAGCTTTAAATGAGTTGTAGTTCATACTGAAAGGATATTAACTACATAATAACTACTGCTGTAATTGCACTGAGTGCATTTGTGTGGACAGGGTATACAGTCTTTACCATACACTGAAGTATTTTTATTCTGACACACACCTCCAGCTTCTCCTCCTCCTCCCAATAAACCGTGACCTTTGGGATGTGAGAAACGATGCTCACTATTAAAATTTCAAAGGTTTATTAAACCTTAACAAAAATACAACAAAAGGACTAAATAAGAAAAAAATACAGCACTGGGAGCAAAGGACTCGACCACCATGTCCTTGCCTACAAAATGGATGCTCCATCTTTTATACCTCTAGCCCCTCCCAAAGTCTCATCAGTCAACTCCTTCTTTGCTGTGCATGGTGGAGTTCACTTTTCTTACATCTCAGCTGGAGATCAGGTGTTGCCATAGTAACAAGCAGACCCTCCCCAAATGCCCCAACTACCAAGGCCATCCCATGATAACATTGCAACAGGAAGGACATATTACAGTAACATAACTACACATCTACAAAACTTCTCTTAAAATATACATAACATTTACCTCTTAATTGTGAGAGCCAACCATCTAATTACTCATCTATACTAGGGATGACTGTGTAAGAAGGTTTATTTGAAACTCTGCTTTGGAGTCATGTACCACCTTCCTGTTTATGCTGTCAGTCTTTGGCAGGTTAATCTTCTGTCTCAAACTGCTGGAAAACATGTCCTTAGTTATTTAAATATGCAGACTGACTGAAAACAATTTGTGTTAAGTGAAGAATACTCAGTATAAATTTAGTCATTTTTGAGTGGGAAAGTAGATCACTTATCTCTGCATGCCCATTGTATTTGATCACTGCTTTTCTTGGATAGCACTTTTGCATGATCTAGCCCATAAAAGATTTCTTGTATAAACATGTATCTTCTTTTTAATTGAACTCTTTGGGAAAATAAAGTGGGAACTGTTGTGATTCTGTGCTTATAAACTGTAGCTGGAGACCTTGACAAAAAGTGCATAAAAAGGTGTCACAACTCTTAGATCTGCTTTTGACCTTTTGCCTAAATCTGTCTGTAGTCTTTCAAAACCAACCAAACAGCAAAACAACCTACACAGACCATTACAAAGGAAAACCCAGAAGGGCCATTCCAAATCCTGTCATCCCACTAATCAGTGACAAGCAGGTTCCTGGGGTGACTGTGTTGGATTTCTGTGGGGGGCAGGAGTGGAGACAGTTCTGTGCCACAGTGCAGTGAGGGCTCAAGTGCTGCAGTCACTCAGGGCAGCTGGAGCAGCCACATTCCAAATGCTCCCTATGGCATGATGGCAAAGCCATGAGCTGAGTGCCAGTGCTGCCTTAGCCCAGCCAGTGCCACATGAACCCAGCAAACTTTGGGCGTTTGGGGCTACTCTGTGTTTAGCTCCCTCAGCCCTCCAATGGAATCTAACCAGAACACCAGCCAAAATTTGATTTGGCACCTTCCTGAAGGTATAGGTCAGTTCCTGTTTCCTCTAATTAAAGTGACCTCCTGGATTGATGGTCCTGGCTGTCCATGTGCAGTTCAGTGTCACCTTTGGTTCCAGTCAGCTGCTGTCACTCAGAGTTCAGGTGCAGCTACAAAACTGCTCTTCTTTTTGAAGAGCAGTAATGGAGAATATGCTCAAGGCTGTCTTTGCCACTGTGGGCAGTTGTGACAAGCTGGAATAACTGGGACAGGAGGAAAGAGTGGGAAAGGTTGACCATAGACATGAATGTTGTGTTGTCTCACATGAGCATTTGTGTTTGGGTATGTCCCAGAACACATTCTAGTGTCAAAACCATCTCTGTCTGCCTGGTAGTTTGCAGATTGGGTTTCTCTACATTAAAGAGTTATAAGTAATGAAAACATAGAATATGGATACTTATGAAACTGCCATTATTGGGCTAGAAGTAAAGAACATCACCAGCAGAACGCTGGGCTTGTAGATAATTATGCAACACACTCTCTTTACATTCACAGACTTTAATATGTTTTTATATCAGCATATGGCAACAGTGTCTTTTTAGTGTTTTTTCTTGTCTTGCTGCATGTGGCGTTGATGCTGTTCTGGTTATTGGCTGCCTCAACCAAAGCTGTTTTGTTCCAGGTGATGAAGGAGGAGAATCTGAACTCCTGGGAGAAGCTCTACCACTTGAACCTTCTGTAGCCAAAGCTGAGAGGAGTCACTTGATAGTGTGGCAAGTCATGTGTGGCAGTGAGTGAGCCTGTAGGATGCAGTTGGAGACCTTAAAAATGGCAGGGGAGGGGAGGGGGGAAGCAAAAAAAAAAAAAAAAAGCTTCTGCATGTTTTTTTTTTTAATTTTGTGAACCTGTTTCACTACATGATGTTGAAGCATTTCTTTGCTGTTTAACTTTATATTGAAACCTGTCATACGTTAGCTGTACAGGAATTACCTTGTGCTGTTTTACTGCACCCTGTTAAATGGAACAGTGTGAGGAAATCAGATGTTTCTCCAGCTGGTGTGCACACCTCAGTGAGCAGCTGATACAGTTTTACTGTACCACAGCAATCTCATGTGTTCACTTCTTTGGTAGTCTCACTTGAGTTAAGCTTTGTTCCAACTGAGCTTCATTTCACTGTATAATGCATTGGGTAAAACAGCAGAGTTATTCCCAGAGTATGAAAAAAATGGACAAATTAAAAGATGGATTATTAAGACTCATCCAAATACTCAGTGAGGGCTGAAGCAAACTGTATTTCAGCTTTTGTTTTCAAACCTGGAAAATCTTGCTCATACAGTGTACACAGTTTAATTTGTTACATTCTTCAGAATTTGTGGGGGGAAAGAGGAGGCTGTATAGGAATTAAAAGGAAAATATTTAAATAAAATTGTATTTTCACTATTGAACCTTAAAGTTTGACAACTGCTGCCCTCAGTAATGAGCAATTTTGAGCATAATGTTTTTCCATCTCCCTGACATGGAACAACTGTTTCTAAAGGGTATTCTTATGTTGATATGAATTGGAAAATAACTGTAAAATTCTCAAACAGGGGATATGTTTTGTTCTTTTCTTAACTCCTTATGTCCTAAGCACTTAGAATGATCTTGTCTGCCTAACTGGTCAAACTCATAAGGCAGTATGTGTGAAGGTTGGAGACCTCAGTTAGAGCATGCGAAAAGACTGAGAGTGTACAGGAAAAAAACACATTCTGCACAAGTGAGATCATAAAGGTGATGCCTCAGGCATCAAAGGAAGTGTAGTTCCAGATAATTAGGTACAAATTGTATTTTTTTTCTGTAGCTCCATACTCCAGTTGAGTTAAAAAAATAATTCAGCAACAATATTATCCGGTAACACAATGACAGAGAAAATTCTCCTACCAAAAGTCAGGAGGCTAATATTAGGCTGACATTCTGTCTACTCACCATCTTTTTTTTAATGGTAAATGTGAGTTTAAGACTGTCTTTCTTTTATGTTGAAATTTCTGCGTTAGTATCAGACCTAAGTTGAACACTTCATGATTTCTGTACTTCAGAAGATTTAAAACCCCAAATTTTCTCTTTAATTTAGTCTCTGGAAAGTAATAGTTTTGAGGGGTTTTAATAATCATCCAGCATTTAGACCCAAAAGGCTGGAGCTGTTCAGATTAGCAGAGAAATTTAGTAACTTGGTTATATGAGAGAACTGAACAGTTTCAGAGGAGTAAATATAGAAACACTTTTTTAAAACTGCCTAAACATTTTTATGCAATAGGAGCAGTTCTGGTCTATCAGGCAAACATGTGTTTATATATTTTCTTAATTTTTAAAATGAACACATTTAGCTGAGGTCTATTGTGTAAATATATATTTAGGCAGCTTTTTCAAATGCATATCATAGCTGATAAACCAGAAAATCTCCATTCAGGTCTATTGGTTAGATTTATATGTATAAATACTTTTTAAGCAACATATTTTGTACACAGCTGTTCCTCTCGTAAATATGTATTTAGGACATGAACTATGTAGTAAAAATCCTTATTAAAGATGTTTAATATCTTGGTAGTATTTTTCTCTTCAGAATGCCAAAAGCAATGAAAGCATGTTCTTCATAATTTGCTTTCCATATTCATCTTGAATGTCACTCTTAAAGTACTTTGGCTTAAATATAAAGTCTGGAAGCTTATTAAAAATTATACAAATACCAATTATACAAAAGTAACCTGAGTCAACACTCTTAGACCTATTTTAAACTTATAGGCATGTATGCTGAACATGAAGCACATCTGAATTAACTGATGGGATGTCTTAAGAAAAATGCTGTCTAAACATTTACTGTTGTGTAGAATCTTCACTGTGAGTGGTGCAGTTTCATTGCTTTTCCTGCCATTTTCTTGAATTTATTTTTTTTCTCTTTGGAAAACACAATCTCCAAAGTTTTTTTACTCACTGGTTGATTGTCACATTCTCATGTTCTCAGAAGAAAAAGCGCACAATTCTGTTATTTGGTTCTTTGTAGGATTTAATTTGTTATTAAAGACAAGCTGTTTTCTCTGAGCGGCGTTACTGCTCCAGCTGGAGCAGTGCAACCTGGCAAGTGTGTACCTGGTCTTTTGCCAAATGGAGCTGGCCCACCGTGCCATTTTAGTCACTTCAGTGGGCCAGCCCTTGCAAATATTTCAGAGAATAATGGATTGCTTCTGTCCAAAAGTGGAAGGGTTTTAAAGCAGACAGTAGTTGAACTGTGTAGCACTATGGGTGTAGATAAAGGCATGTGTACTTCTCTTTATTTCTCATTTTAAAACTTTATCCCCTGTCCTAAGGTACAGTAGATTACTGGGTCCCTGTTGCCGTCACAGTGTGCTGGGCTGTATAAACTCCCCTTAATGTCACTTTGAAAGGTGAATAAAGCCTGCAGACGCCAGGCACTGCGATGACAATACACCCTCAACTCCGTCTCAAGAATGTTTATGCATTACACTCGTGATTAAAGCATCATATAAATAGGAGCTAATCTCTTGATATCTACAGCTTGTTAATAGTTTGGAAACATTTCGAGCACAAAATATGCAGCACATGACTTGCCTGGGTAGGGGTGTTTGCATGGTGAGGGTGAGGCTGCATTGTCCATTCCTTGGGAAGGTCTTCCTGTGCCGGATAGGATCGAGCTGACAGAGCGTAGACACTTTATCATAGGCTGCCTTAGTAATAAACAAATGTTTAATCTGTTTTATTATACTAACTGTTCTAAAGAACATATGTCTTTAAAAAATGCTGTGTAACTGAATATTTATTTCCATGTGAGTATTATAAAAGTTACCAAAGGATTAAACCTGATTTAGCACTCTGTAAATGGCCCTGTTGAGGTGGGCCTTGTGAAGGCCTCGCTCTGTAAAACGAGACATGGTAAACTCAAATACAGTTCTTCTTTAGGGAAATTAAATGTTCTTTTCTAACAGGGTTATGCCATATTGTAACAACCTATATTGCACCTCAAAGCATTTTTCTATACACTAAATGTCTCTCCCGCCCTCTAACAAGATTAAGTTTCCTTTATTAATTTTGTTGATGCACATTTCTCAATCTTTTAAACATATATTTTAAACATTTTATGGTCTGTAATTTTTGAAAGTTTTGTCTGTTGGACACTTTATGCTGAATTTTACTTGCCTCTGTAATCTGAGATGGATTCTACAGCGTTAAACTTGCTGTCTGTTAAAACTTGAGGCTTCTTTTCTGTGAGCAGAAGAGCTCATATAGCAGTGTAGTTATTTCAGTATTTATTTCTATTATTGAATCCATGAGGTTCAGAATGTAACTTTGTACATGAAATATATATAAATATGTATATGAAACATGCATTGGGTCAGTGTGTTCTTTGTAATCTCATGTTAATTTTGCCGAATTTTGGTGCTATCAGAAGACACAATTTTGGGGATTTTACACTAATGCCAAATGTTGTTGTTATCAGTGATATGTTTGAGTCAGTCCAGGACTAGTGTTATCCTGCTCTCTCGTAGTGGGCTCAGACAAAAGCTGTGAAGAAAAGCTATGAGGTCTGTGCCTCTCTTAAGATACAGATCTGGAGGAAATCTGCTTAATGCAGCTCAGATGAAATAGGTTATGTCAGATTAAATAGATGCTGACACTGAGATTTATTTTTTAAATTGTTTTAGCAGAGATTCATCAGAGCTCAAATGCTCTCTGGTTACTTCCTGCTCAGCAAAGGAAATTGTGTTTTTAAGGCAGAAGAATGAGGACATGGTGACTGCAGAAACTGAGCACTTGGCCAGAGCCAGGGTTTCATGTTTTCCCAGCTCACCTGCCCCTTTCTCAGCACATTTGTCCCAGCTGTGTGTCCTGATCAGTGTGTCAGGAGTGTCCCTAAGAACCCCTGGCTATTCCCAGGGACTGGGGGAGCCCCACTGGGTGCAGAAAGCTGTGCTGGGCTCACAAAGCCCCCCTGCCCTCCCCATGGGTGTCACTCCAGGTGTTACTGCTGCCTTGGGCACTGGTGAAGGGCCCACGTGAAGTTGTTTCAAACTTCCAGAAGAAAAATGCTTCAGATTTGTTTGAACAAAAGTCTGTGCAAACACTGGAATCATCCGTGGACAAGAAGTACCCAATGTCCTGTTGCCACTGCTGTACCACCTTGAAGCTTTATAAACCTGGTGCTTAACAAACCCACCATAATTTTTGCTTAGTTAGTGGAGTTTTCCTGGAAGATTTTTTCCTCTCCAGAACATATGTACTAATGCATTTCCCTCTCCTTACAGTGATGGTTCTGGGGCTGTGTCCATTCCCAGGCAGGTCACACACTGCACTGTGCTAAAGCAGAGTGTGTCTGTATTAAAAGGGAAGAAACATCACAAATCTTCACTCTGGAAATGTTTCAGCTCTTACAGCAGCCCTGGAGCCCCTCAGGTCTGTGCGTAAGTAATTGAATTTTTCACATCTGGTGTTGAGAGAGATAAGAGAATAGAGTTCTGAACTCAGCTAAGGAGTTACAAGTGCTGTTTGGGGACTGAAGTTTGAAGCCATTGGAAATAACAAACCTGTCTGTACTGGGCATGGGATCATGGGAAAAGCATTCACTATTTCTGGGGCAGATTTTTAAAAAGTTCTCTCAGTTGTATCAGTCTTCTACACCAAGAGGTGTTCAGGGCAGAATACACACACTTTTAAACTTTTTTCAATGCAAATGCTTTTATTGAAAACCACTTTTTTTGCTGGAAATTAAACCTCATACTTACTGAGGTAGACTGTTTCCTTTTTTCTACAATGGAATAAATAGTAAACCATAAATTTGGGATTCTTTTTGCCTTCACCTTCCATTTTCAGTGTCCTGTCTGAGCAATACAGTCTGGAGCTGGTACTGACCATTGTGGTGATCTCTGATGCACAAGTGTCCCTTAATTCTGCTGTAGAACACGCTGTGAGGGGCCTCTGGCCAGGGACCACGCTAGCTCCTGGCAGGGCCTGCAGGACTCTCTGTGGTCTGTGTGGTTACATTCTTTAAAAAAAACCTCTTTTGAGTGCAAGTAGTTTCCTGCTTTTTAAAACACTTCAGGATGATGGCAGGAAGGGAGCTGATGGGAAGAGATGTGGATTGGTGCTTATTACACTCTGCTTGAGCTTCTGGCCAGGAGCAGGAGCAGTCTGAGTTGTGACACAAGATGGTGCTCTTACAATTCTAACACAGTAAAACTCATTCTGCTCCAGCATTCCCTTCTCCCAGCCTTCCTACAGCAGCCAAGCCTCAGGCTCCCTGAAACAGCTCTCCCAGGTGAAGCTGTTGTGTCTGAGGAAGGACAGAGGAACCCAAGCCACTCAAGGGTTCAGGAGATGCTCCCCTGCCCTCACCCCTGTAAGTGCTCCAGCTGGGACTTCCCTCTGGAGCTGGGACCTCCTAATTCACCTAATGTGGGAAAGGGAAAGCTTTTCCTTTATTAGACAGAGGTCCTGCTGGGCACTGGGATGGAGCCAGGCAGGGTGGGGGAGTTGAGGTTTCTTGGCACTGCAAGGGCTGAGCAGCTGCTCCCCAGCACTCCCCTTCGTGCTGCTTCTCCAGCCTTCAGGGAAGTTCTGTTCCAGTTTGCAAGGGCGATGTTAAAGGCTCCCTTCATTCTTTGCCTGGGAACAGCAGTTCTAAACTCATGGGGGAGCAGCAGCTGGGGCTGCAGGGCTGAGGGGGCTGATGCTCCTTACATCTGCCCCAGACCTCCCCCTGCCTACCTCCAGTGCCCAGGGATTTGGGGTATGTTTGGGGGGTGCTGCCATCTCCTGCTCCTGAATGTTGCTGTCTCAGATTTGGAGCTTAAATGAAGAGGAGAAGGGGAAAATAACCCCATAAAATCATGTTGGAAACTTTTCCAGACATCACAACTGCTTTTCACTGAGATGGGATCAATATCCTGGTGTCCCTGAGGCCCTGCCCTAGCTCAGGGCTGGCAGGGATGGAGCTGCCACCAGCCAGGTCCTTTGTGGTAGCGACAGCAGTGCTTCCTCCCAGTGTCATCCTTGGAATTTCCCAGGACCTGGTCTGCAGAAACACTTCTTGGGGTCTCCCTTTTAATTAAATTTGGCTGATGTTTGCTTTGAGTTAAAGGACAAAGGAGAGCTGATGGTGCTGCCCTGGCTCAGGGCACACATCCTGCTGTCCTGGCTGATGGTGGCTGAAAGCAACACCTGCAGGAGGGAGCAGGAGTGTGGGGAGGTGTCCCACAGGTCACCCTGCATCCTGCTGTGTCTCCAGGCTGGATGAATCAGCTTCTACCTTGTGGAAACAACTGGACTGATGCAAAATGGTGCAGCTGTCTGTATCCCAGCAGGACTAAAAATAAGAAAATCAGGGAGCTCACTGGTTTGCAAAGGCAGCTGGAATACTTCTGAAATACTCTGAATACTCTGAATGAGAATGATAAAAAATTTTACACTTATGCTGCCACTGCATGGGTGCTCCTGGCAGATGCTGTTGCAGGGTTGCAGGTGCCATACCTGGCTCTGTCCTTGCTTGGGGTATTTGGATTCTGTTCCTGGAATGGCACAGAGATATCTGTGGGATGAGCAGCACATGGATCAGCTGTGAAGTGTTTCAGTCTTTTCAGGCCAGACCTGGTTTGGGGTGGGTAACAGCACAAGGAAATGTTGAAGGCTGATGGGGGAGGCTGAATCCAGGGGAGAAAAGGTGCTGAGGACTCCTGGCTGCTAATTGATGTGTGCAATGAGAGAACAGCAGGTTGTGTGTGTGGGTGGGGAAAATTCAATCCTTGTCAAAATTGCCCGAAAGTTAATGAAAATCCCTGAGATAGAGAGGTGAATTGTGCAGCATCCACAAACCCATTACAGTCCAGTTGACTCACTTGCAAATAAACACTGCGTGGGTGCTCCGGAGCTAAAAAAGCTCTTCTGCCCTGTGCAGATGTGCTTGTGTCTCATTCCCCCTGAGAAAGAAGGGAGGGAGGAAGGATGGAAGCTCAGCCAGGTCCGAGCTCAGAGGTTTGGGGGGTGCAGGACCAGCCCCCCACCTTGGCATTGCAAACTCAGCACCAGACACAAGATACCCATCCTTGCCTTGCTCAGGGGTGTGCAGATCTCCACATGTGGGATGAGAAAATGAGGAAGGAAGGCACCAGGAACATCCCAGCACCATCTGACTGGCAGTACCAGCACTGAACAGAATAAAGGTTTTATGCAAAGGGGCTGAGGAAAATGTTCTGCTGCTTTTTTGGGTGACAACCTGCCATCAGCTGGGCACAGCAAATCAATGACTGGCTTTTGCAAGCATTTTTAATCCTTCTCTGAACTTTACAGGGTGCTCAGAAACTCATTTCACCATAGCAACCTGCATCTGCAATAAAGCCCCAAATGTCACCTCTGGGCCAAAGCTGTGGCTGAGCTGCAGCAAGCTGTGGGCAGAGAGCTGGGTGTGCAGCTCTGGGCACAGGGTGAGCTGGAGTTTGTACCGTGATCCCTATGGGGCTGCTCAGCCTGGGAATTGCAGCTCTTCACACCCTTCTAGCCCAGGCCCAGCTGCCATCCTGGTTTGCAGGAAGCCCATGGCTCTGCTGGTCAGAATCTCTTTGAAATGCCTCCAAAATGGCCTGAAGTGTCTCGTTCTCAAAATGGCCTGAAATGTTCTCAAAATGGCCTGGTCCATCAGAAGGGCTAGAGGTACAGGAGTTCCTCTTGGCTGACAGTGGATAAAGGGGCAGCATAAAGGGGGTTCATCACTTCACTCAGCCTGGAAATCACACAAATGGGTCAGAAACCTTCAAAAGGAAGCATGGAGGAGATTTTTTGGAGGGATGAAGAGACTTTAACAAAGCTCTGCTGAGCCACCAGCAGTAGCTCAACCACTGACAGCAGGAGCACTGGGGTGTTGAACTGTTCTTGTTTTGTGAGCTGGGCTTTGCAAGCAGTGTGAGGTGTGAGCTGAAATCCGAAATAAGAAAGTGAAGGAAGTGTGAATAGGTCATAAGGAGAGTTTTCAGAAGGAGGCAGCACTGGCAGGGCTTTATCTGCTGATGAAGTGGCAGTTTCCATGTTCCTCTTATGGTTCAAGCAGACTTTGCTGGGCTTTCTGTGCCTTGAGCAGCTGGGTTGCATGATACCAAACTAGACTGTGCTTCTTACTGGTCAGTGTTGCTTTGGGCTGGTGTTTAACCATGATAAAAAGTAGGTCTGTTCTCAGACTGATCCCCAAAAGAAAAAATCAGAGCAAAAAAGCCAGCTGAGAAAGTCATGGTTCAGGAGACCTGCAGATGAGACTGGCACTAGTCTGGAGGTTCTTCAGGGCTGGCAGTATTTGGTCCTCCAGCTACTCTACACACAAATACTGGCCTCAGGGCACATGAGCA